CATTCTTCAATCCCTCCCTCCATCTTCAATCCCTTATTCCTTCCATTATCCAATCCCTCCCATCTTCAATCCCTCCTTCCTTCCATTCTTTCAATCACTCACTCGACGTTCTTACTCCGGATCCTCTCATCCCATCCCCCTCTCTCCTCTCCCTTTATTACCTCCCTCTCCCTCTCTGCCTCTCTCTCAATCCCTCCCTCTCCCTGCCTCTCTCTCAATCCCTCCCTCTCCCTGCCTCTCTCTCAATCCCTCCCTCTTCCTGCCTCTCTCTCAATCCCTCTCCCTCCCTGCCTCTCTCTCAATCCCTCCCTCTCCCTGCCTCTCTCTCAATCCCTCTCCCTCCCTGCCTCTCTCAATCCCTCTCCCTCCCTGCCTCTCTCTCAATCCCTCCCTCTGCCTCTCTCTCAATCCCTCCCTCTCCCTGCCTCTCTCTCAATCCCTCCCTCTGCCTCTCTCTCAATCCCTCCCTCTCCCTGCCTCTCTCAATCCCTCCCTCTCCCTGCCTCTCTCTCAATCCCTCCCTCTCCCTGCCTCTCTCTCAATCCCTCCCTCTCCCTGCCTCTCTCTCAATCCCTCCCTCTCCCTGCCTCTCTCTCAATCCCTCCCTCTCTCTCAATCCCTCCCTCTCCCTGCCTCTCTCTCAATCCCTCCCTCTCCCTGCCTCTCTCTCAATCCCTCCCTCTCCCTGCCTCTCTCTCAATCCCTCCCTCTCCAGCTCTCTCAATCCCTCCCTCTCCCTGCCTCTCTCTCAATCCCTCCCTCTCCCTGCCTCCCTCTCAATCCCTCCCTCTCCAGCTCTCTCAATCCCTCTCCCTCCCTGCCTCTCTCTCAATCCCTCCCTCTCCCTGCCTCTCTCTCAATCCCTCCCTCTCTCAATCCCTCTCTCTCAATCCCTCCCTCTCCCTGCCTCTCTCTCAATCCCTCCAGCTCTCTCAATCCCTCCCTCTCCCTGCCTCTCTCTCAATCCCTCCCTCTCCAGCTCTCTCAATCCCTCCCTCTCCCTGCCTCTCTCAATCCCTCCCTCTCCCCGCCTCTCTCTCAATCCCTCCCTCTCCAGCTCTCTCAATCCCTCTCCCTCCCTGCCTCTCTCAATCCCTCCCTCTCCCTGCCTCACTCTCAATCCCTCCCTCTCCAGCTCTCTCAATCCCTCCCTCTCCCTCAATCCCTCCCTCTCCCCCTGGTGGTAGGGGGGGGCTCTGAACGTTGGGTGGGGCGGTCTCGTTGCCGTGACAACGCAATCAGTATGCGTGCTGCGTGCGCGGTGGAGGCAGGAGATAAAGACAAAGATACCCTCCCCTACCGTATAGCCTTCACTGACTCTTAGGCCAAGTGCTTTGGGCGAGCACTTACGAAGGCTAATGTGTCACTCGAAAAAAGTGGTTGGGCAGTAAGACCACGCTCGGCCGCCTTTGTCTCGCCAGTGCTTAAGTCATTCCTGTCAACCCATATGGTTTTCCCCATATTCTTGTACAGGTAAATTGTGTTCAGATCCATACGGCGTACAGCCGTTTCAATACGGGCAAAAACAGTTTTTGTCTATTTGTTTGTGTTTCTCCCTTGTGATGGGACTTTGTAGGATGAACGGTTGAGATTTATAAGGGGCACGGGGTGAACCAATAAGGTTTGAATTGGTCTGTAATAAAAGATAGGACACTGATCAGGCGTTGACAGGTATGTTGAGTTCACGCCGCACCAGGTACTCATGAAACACCGAGTCGACCCATGGTGTGCCCAGCACCGGCTTAGATATTCACCGCTGGTGTTGGCGATGGGCGAGGAATCGCAGCGCTGACCGCTGCACCACCGCTCCCCCACATATGCACCAGCAACATCGCGTTGTCCCACCACACACACCACCGTACAACACCACCACCACACACACCACCGTACAACACCACCACCACACACACCACCGTACAACACCATACCAACACAGCATTCTATAAATAACCACGCCGCACGCTTTACACCACCACCATTCCACCCAGTCGTATCCCAACACACAATTGTACACCAAAGGCAAAGATGCCCCGTGTAGCCTCAACAGACTGTTGTGGCAAGTGCTGTTCGTGAGCAGCATCTGTGAAGGCCGGCACTGTGGCTAACGAGTGGGTTGGTGTGTGGCCAGCACCACACCCGGCCGTTTTCATTTTACACATCGCACCAGGTACTAACTTGAGGCCGAGTCGACCTAGGGGATGTCCGGGATAATCGTCACCGGTGGTGACAGCGAACTATGTCAGACGTGGGCTGGAATCGAACTCGGGCCACCAGGTTCGTAGCGCAGCGCGCTGACCGCTACACTACCGCTACCCACCACCGCCACAGTTCCGGCAACACGACGCACACCAACAACAACAAACGCCGCCGCTCCAGGTGTTAGTCTTTGTGCAAACGAGCAATTTAATCGCGCGAGGGAAGGCGATGTACAAATCACCGTGTCGTCGCGCACACCCGGCAACCATCAACAAATTTGTCCTTCACCGCCAAGATGACGAGGCAGCCATCGATCATCGCGCAATTACATCCATCACCATCCATCATCATCATCCCTCCTCATCCCCTCTCCCGCCTAATCCTCACCCCCTACCGACCCCCCCACCCCCGTGTGCTATCGGCATCGCGTGCTCATTTCAAAGCCGCGTGCTCATTTCAAAGCCGCGCGATCGCAGTCGCATGCAAATCAGTCGCGCTCGGTCCCACCGGCACGGAAAAAAAATGAAATTAACCGCATCGTTGAAATGGATGACGACCAGTCGATGTGAAGGTTCAAGTAATCGATCTGCTGTTGCGGTTGTATCCGCTTGCTCAGAGGCTGGAAAGGGGGGGAGAGAAAGAAAGAGAGCAAAACGAAAATCGCGTGCGACTTTTGAGGCGATTTTTTATTTAGTTGTTGCCTCAGAGGGTTGCGGCGCTAAAATGAAAATGGCGGCGCGAGTTCCCCCCCCCTCCCCCCCAAAAAAAGAAATGTGACGGCGGAAACTTCTCCGCCCACCGTGCAGCGAACGGCCAATCGCCGTCGAGCTGCCGATCGAAGCCGCCTCGCGATTGGCTGGTGGTGCGCGGCGGAGGCGTGGCTGGTCGTGAGAGGGCGGGGTCGCGAATATTAATTTGACCTCTTGTGGACGAAGAGTTTTGCGGCTTCATCGGGATTGCTCCAGCGTCAAATAAATATTCCGATTGTTAAGAAATGTTTATAATTATATTCTCGGTAAAGTCACGTAGAAGGGAAACAATAAAATAATAAAAAAATATAAAGCAAGACTGTTAATCCCTGCAGTCACGAAAGCTTTACATCAAAATGTTTATAATTAGTTCGATACGGTGCGAATTACGTTCACTCCTCATCCATCCAACCTCATACAATAATAAAAAAGGCATCACCTACCGCATTCTCCGGATTATAAGACGTACATCACCCCATGTGCAGTATTTCAAAACAAAAGTTTTGGGGTCAATCTTTTAATCCGGCGATCTGTATCCGTGTGAGAGTAGACAACATTTTCAGAACCGCATGAATACCGTCTCACTATTCGGGAAACGTCTTATAATCTGCAGAACAGTCACGAAGTTCCCAGCCAATGACCAGACATTTGATGAAGAACCGAGAAAAAGCGAGATCGCTGCTAAATCTCTTAGAAGCTTCTTCTGTGGTTCTTTCGGTAAAGTCACGTAGAATGAGAATTAAATAATAAAATAACACAATAAAATTCTCACGACGTTTCGGCCACAACGCCCGCTTGCGTTGTGGCCGAAACGTCGTGAGAATTTGTGTTATTTTATTATTTTATTCTCATTCTACGTGACTTTACCGAAGGAACCAAAGAAGATGAATCCTTGCAGTCACGAAAGCTTCAAATCGAAACTCTTAAAAGCTGTGTGCGGGTTATACGGGCGTGTTCGCGCGTGGGGAAATCCGACGCTCCGTTGATTCGTTCGAAATCGGATCGCGACGTTTCGTCTCCGGCCCCAAATGACGCATTGCAAGGGGGCCCATCAGAAGCAAACCGACTGGGATTCGTCGCCTATGCAATGTTAATCGACGATTAACATCGATTACATCACGTCATCGTCATGACCCTCGAATACCACAGAGACACAATACGGCAAATATATACTTTAGCAGCATCGTCGGTCAGTCTCGATCTACCGCACACACACACACACAAAAGCCACACAAGTTCGCTCCGTCTCCACTTTGTCGGTGCCACCAATGCTTCTTTGTGTTTTGTGCACTCTGCGTTTGCCACCGCGCCTGCCTCTGTGATGAAACAACTCTCTAAGAATGAAGGAGTTGGTGGATCGCGTGGGGGATGGAACTCTGGACGCATCACAAGAAGTAGGTTTTTTTTTTAAGCCGATTGTTAAATCGTTACGATTCGTCGATTCTTTGAGGGTGGGATGCAGGAGGGTTCAAGAGAGTTTTGTAGAGTAATTACATGCCTATTCATTATGGGTCTTCTCCCACAATATCCCTCCCCCACCAACACACCGACTACGAGTGCCATTCCTGCCGCTGGTACTAAGCCAGCTGATGTAGATTTGATAGCTGCTGCTGCTGTTTCTGCTGCTATTGTTGCTGCTATCGCTGCGGTGTCTGCAATCCACCAGTGGGGTGATGGTGAATATGCATCCACATTCCTATGACCGGGGCAAAGTATGTTCGTGAGACACTTGTGATTGCTTCCCACAAAATGGTCCGCGTTGTTTTATCCACAGCGGAATGATGTTCTGGGCTCACGACGAAGGTGGACGAACGGCGCTCCCCGGTCATCCTCAAGCTCGAGTGGTTGGCACTGCCCACAACACGTCTGCAAGTCTTGACACATCTTCAACCGCGTGCGTGCAACGATGAACGGTTCAAGATATGAAGGCAATCTTGATTTGAACGATATAACGGCAGCAGAAACAATGTCACGGATGCTGTGTTTACCACTGGCAACACCGTGTGCACTTGAATGTTGTATAGACACGCTTCCTATTCATTTCCATATTCGTCCGATGTTCATCTGGCATGCACGTGTACAACAAAAATTCCCCGAAAAGCTTTGCCATTGGGATTTGCGGAATATCCGCATTAAGTGATGGGTAATTTTTGTCGAAACGTTAGTAGATGCACACCCCTATATAGTCCACAGATTAATACAGATTTATATGGTCCAGATTTATGTATTCATAGCATTATATGTGGTATAGATTGTGTGCTCTATAGTTGACATCCATACCAATGTCTGTGTACACACCATAAATCCACGCAGCCTTAAATCCATGCCAATATCGATTCATACGGCTGTGTGTCACGGAGATTCACATCGCTACAGATTCCGGATATTCACGGCCCTGGAGGTTGTACATTCGTACTGTTCGAGTCGATAGATGGGTTTAATTCGTGACTGGGGCGATTCTGTGTGGAGTTTGGATGTTCTCCCCCTATTCTGCATGGGTTTCCTCCCATAGCTAAAAAAAGCCCTCTGTACGATGTAACTGGTATTGGCTAAAACATCCCAATGCTGATAAATATACATGCAAGCTATTCAAGTGGGATTGCACACAGCAGCGACCACTGTGCCCTACTGCAAAAAAAAAAAACTACTTGGCAGGACCATCCAGGAAAGGAGTCCTTGAGACTCAAGTGAGGCTGGGCTGGGTAAAGAGGCGTTATCATAATTTGTAAAAAAATGCCTACACGCCACGGTACATTGTGTATATACTGTGTTTGTCTGCGTGTCGGTGATTGCTATTCACGTGGACACCCTTGTAATTGAGATGTTCCTTCTGCAGGGATTGTGAACGTGAAATATCTTAGCTGATAAATAGATATAACTATAAAACAATACCAAGATATGACGCCCAAGTTGAAAAAAAAGAATAATTCACGAGTGTTTTCAGAACGAATCCTTTCTGTTCAGAATGGCACCGTGAAGGTGCGGGATGAGGAGTTTGTTTAATAATTTACGCCCTTATTCCAGACATTGACATCTGCTGCATTCAAAGAGCTCGTGCGCTGTATTATAGCGTGTGTTTGCGCTGCATATCTACCATGTATTCAAACACATGTAATGTCAGTTCAGTGCTGCTTCGAATTCCCATAGCCCACCCGTGCAGAACTTGCCCTTACGGACAACGTGTGCCCAATAATAACGACACTTGCGTGATTTATAATCGGGTCCTGCTTGCAATCGCCATCGATTTCATACCCGTGGCGTGGGTACTTTTTAAGTGAGGGATTATTGTATGGTGACACCAGAAAGTACGCTCGGTAGTGGGGTAGCTGTCCACCCGATAGGTGGTTCTGAAACATAATTCAGCTGGGGTTGTTGGAAGCTGTCACGCAAAGAGGGGGTGTTAAACTGGAATTGATTTAGGTATGGAGAGCTGTCCAGCCAATAGGGGGTGCTGACAGGAAATAGAGTTGGTGGGTGGGGAGCTGTCCAGCCAATAGGAGGGTACTGAAACTTAATTAGGTTGAATATCGGGAGCTGCCCAACTGATATAGGGGGTGCTGAAGCAATGAAGCGACCATCAGCTGCAGTGACCCGAGAGGCTGAGAGCCGGGGAGCCGGGCGAGCCAGGTCCAGCATTGCTCTCTGCACGCTGGATGTACAGATTCAGCAGCTTCATCTGTAGGGAGGGGCAGAGGGAGGCAGATTTAGTGTGAACGACTATACATATGGGATATAGGGGGCAAAGCCCAAGGAACTGTGAAGTTTATAACACTCCGGTGTCTCCCTACATGTGTTATCCAGGAAGGTTTACGGTAATTGGAGTGCATGGCTCGTAATGTAAAAGTTGCGACTTTAATCTTACAATGCAGTGAATTCGGTAGCAGGTGAAAGGGAGACTCGCCTTGCTGCCAGACAGGTGAGTGAGGTAGGGGGTGAGGCTCTCTCCGATGGCGGTGTGAATCGCCACGAGGCAGAACACGCTCGCTTTCCGCACGCTGCTCTCCGTGTTGTCGTAACCCTGGTGGGTGGGGGGGGCACAGGGGGATAGCCGTTGTAACCGACTTCGGAGTGGCTGATGATGATTATAATTACGTAATCCAATTTATATTTATAGAGCGTGTTCACTCAAGGCGCTTGAACATACGATAATGTTTGCAGGCGTGTGTGCGTCTGATTGTTGTTTGGGCGGTAGGATGGTGGCAGCAAGAAGGGCCTGGGTTCGATTTTGTGTGTTCTCCCCCTGTTCTGCATGGGTTTCCTCCGGGTTCTCTGGCTTCCTCCCATAGATAAAGAAAAAAAATACAATGTAACTGGCATTGGCCAAAACATCCCAAAGTTGTATAATTACTTGCAAATTACTAAATTGGGATCACACACAGCAGCAACATCGGCCCCATTACTGCAAAAAGTTGTCAGGACCCTCATGTAAAAGAGTCTTCAGACTCGGCAAAGATTTCCTGGGAAACAATTGGAATAATAATAAATAAATAATAGAAATCCGGGACTTAATCGATCAGGCACTCAATGGAATTCATTAAACGTTCCGTATGTATGTTGAACTTCTTTCGCACCATACGTAGCAAGCCAAGTGCTTAGAAAGGACAACAAACTAAACACAACAAGAAGCAGTTTTAAATAAATTAATGAAGGCTCTCTGGAGCAGAGCTGCTGCTGTAAAGACCAAGCCAGCTTTCATAACCGTACATAGGGCATTGCCGGTTCAGGCTACCTTCAATAGCGCCAGTCGAGTAGTTTCCCACGTAACAGTCGGAATAACAACAACAACTAACACCTGCAAGAGGCCCGGGATGATGTCGGGCAGCAGCTGGGTGAGCGCGGTGTGCGGCAGCCGCTGCATGACGCGCGTTTGCATCTTGATGGCGGCGAGGTTGATGGGGAAGTCGGCCGTCTGCACGATGGGGCACAGCACCTTGAGGCACTGCTCGGCGGGCAGCGACGCCGCCAGCACCGACGCCGTCTCCTCGGCGGCGCGGCACACCTAGCGGCGTGCGGGCAAGGCGGGGAGGGCCAGGGTCACGTTGTGTGTACGGTGAACTTCTTTCGCGCCGTACGTTTCCAACCGTGCTAATCGGAGGTGCGATTAGCACGTTTGGAGTGGGGTGAAGTGGATGCGGGGTGACCACGTGAGCACAGGGTGACATGGGTCCGGGGTGACGTGGGAGCCGGGGTGACGTGGGAGCGTGCGTTGAGGGCGGTTGACTGTGCAGGTTTGGGTTTAAGGTGACGGCGATGGTACTGGTGACGCCTGTGGGATTCGTTGTGGTGATGGTGATCGTGTTGGTGGTGGCTGTGGTAGTGGTTGAGCTGACGGCGATGATGATGGTTAGCGGTGGTGGAAATGTCTGTGGTGTTGATTGATCTCAGTTGGGGTGCTGGGGGCAACAGCGATGATTATAGTTGTGATAATGGTTGTGGTTTTCCTACCTCTCTGGCCTCTTTTTATGAGTTATGAAGAAGAGCTATTGACCAAAACATTGTTTTGTTTATTGGTTATGATTTTGGTGGTGTTGCGCGAGAGTGGTGGTGGTGGTGGTGGCTGCCTCTCTCCCATACCTCCTTGTGTGGGTCTCTGTGTGCCTCCAGGACCTTCATGATGGTGAGCTCCGCGTACTTGCGGAAGCACGTGGGCTGGCGACGCAGGAACTCGCTGAGCACTCGCAGCGCCAGCGAGCGGGTCACGTGCTGAGGGCGACGGTCAGGACGACGGGGATAAACGGGAGGGTGGGAGGGGGGGGTGACAGGTGGACGTTACGAACCGGCCTTGCTCAAAGGCGCACTGAGCGAAGACGCAAAAGGCTGGTCGCCGAGACAAAAACGGTCGACGGGCTGGCAGAAGCGGACATCGCAGAACTACTTGCGGGCTGGCTCACGTCTGCGTCTGCGAGCGTCTCGAGCAACAGCAGCAGCACGGTCTTGAAGTGCTCCTCCCAGGCGGCCGCGGGCTCCTCGCGGCCGGCGCGCTGCAGCTCGCGCAGCGCGGCCCGCCGCTCCTCGGGCCGCCCGCCGGGGCCCGTCAGCTCGGCCAGCAGCTCGGCCAGGGACGAGGCGGCCGGGGGCCCACCCTGGCCTGGGATGGGGGGGGCGGTGAGGGGCGAGAGAGAAGCATGAGGAGGTGTGGGTGGATTGGTGGGTGGGTGTGGGTGGATGGGTGGGTGTGGGTGGATGGATGGATGGGGGTGGGTGTGGGTGGATGGGTGGGTGGGTCTGGGTGGATGGGTGGGTGGATGGGTGGGTGTGGGTGGATGGGTGGGTGGATGGGGGGGTGTGGGTGGATGGGTGGGTGTGTCGGCGGTTACATGGGTGGCTAGGTCAGTATGTAGGGTGTGTGGACCAACCAGTGGCTTGATTCATGGCTGGCTGAGCGAGTGAGTGGGTACATGGTTGGGTATAAGCAATGGTGTACGTTTGTGCGTGTGGCCACACCACACCTCGTGGTGGTGCGGTGTGGTGTGAGCGCCACTCACTGTCGGGGGTGTCCCGCCCCCCCTCGCCCTCCCTCCCCAGTGCCGCCCCCGTGCCCTGAACACGGCAACACACAAGCTGGATATAAGCACAACTTGTGCAAGCACAGTTCTCATACAAGCAACGAGTCCTCACGTTCCACTGGTGGGGGGAAGGTAAAGCACAACTTCGAATACAATCACACTACTTCGGATATAAGCACATACCGGTGACCATCTCCTGTTTACACCCTTGAGCCAAGAGTGGAAGTTCCACATTCCTATGGCCAGGGCGAGTCTATTCATATGACAGCCACTGTTAACTTCCCCGCAAAGTGGTGCTCGTTTTATCGACCCCAGAAGGGAGGGACGATGGGCTGAGTCAACCCCCTCCCAACCAGGGTCTGAACTCTCAACCTTCTGCCGACTGCCACTCACACTACTACCGAGCCGCCCTGAACGTCAATCAGCTTCTCCCATCATCCTGGTAAGCAGAGCTGACTTAAGGCTATGAGGGGCCAAAGGCTAATCAGAGGGTAGGGCCTAAGTATGTCGAGTATTACATATTGCAAATATTTCTATGAAGGCATCACGCATATGCATTAATTCATTTACCTATGTAAAATTACAAACGTTATTCAACCCAAGGTAAATTCATCAAACATACATCGTGCGCTCCGCTCATTTCTTTAAACACACTCAATTTAATTAGTTCTCCTAGCTTCAGCCGTGGCAATGTGCACGAATTCTTAATTTAAAGGCAACCGTTGCTCAGCTGTTATTTCAACATGGCAAGGAGGCCCTAAGGGAGGGCATACAAAAAATACGAGGGCCTGAAGGCTTTAAGAGCCCATGGGTTAATCCGGCCCTGCCGATAACCGACGATAATAACCAGAACGATAACAAGGATAGCGGCAACAACAGCGACGCCAGCGGTCGTCACGCCGACGGGCTGCGGCGATGCTGACGATCACCTGCTCGCGACCGGCGGCGGCGGCGTTGGCGGGCGACTGCTCGGTGAGGTCCTCCTGGCTGCGGTAGCTGTAGCTCTGGATCGCCTGCGACACCCCCCGTAGGGAGCGGTAGAATTCCTCCCCCGCCTCCCCGTCCGCCTCGCTCGTCCTGTCGCCAGAGTTCGTCCGACCGCAGCAAGACGGGCACGGTCGGCAACGCTGCTGCTGCCGCAACGACGCGGGTGTGCGTGCGGGCTTGTGAGCAGGTGCTGCTCGCTAACAGCACTTTCCCCAAAAGTCTCTGAAGGTTATGCAGGGGGGAATCTTTGTCATTGTGCACGGTTGTGCGTGGTTGAAGGTGCGTGTGGGTGAGTGTGGGTGTGGGTGTGCGTAGTTGAGGGTGTGTGTGGCTGAGTGTGGGTGTGGGTGTGCGTGGTTGAGGGTGCGTGTGGGTGAGTGTGGGTGTGGGTGTGCGTAGTTGAGGGTGTGTGTGGCTGAGGGTGTGTGTGGTTGTGCGTGGTTGCGTGTGCGTGGTTGAGTGTGCTTGTGCGTGTGGTTGAGCGTGCGTGTGGTTGAGCGTGCGTGTGATTTTGCGTGTGTGTGGGTGTGCATGTGGCTGTGCGTGTGGTTGTGCGTGCGCATGGTTGTGCGTGGTCGAGGGCGGTGCGAGCGGCTACCCGGGAGACACGGTCCCCTGGGAGGAGGCGGAGGGCGAGGTTACGGGGCTGACCCTGTTCGCTGGGGGGCGCATGGGGGCACGGTGGGCAGCTCCGCTCGGGGACGCCTGAAGCGGGGAGGGGAAGGGAGCGACACAGACGACGACCTCGGGTGAGCCAACCAGACCCGTACAACTTGACCCAACCCAACTATCCTGATCTGGCCCAAATTGACCTGACCCCTGACCCCACCCCTGGCCCCACCTACACAGACTCGAATGACTTGATCCAACCAAACGCCCACTCAACTGGAGCCAACTTGACCCACGTGACCTGACGCAACCCAACCGCAACTTATTCGACTCGTACGGCCTTCCCAGCCTGACCTGAATTGACCTGACTTGACCCAAATCTGTCCCGGCGTGAGCTTACCCGACCCACGTGATTTGATCCGCTGTGACCCGACATCACCTGAATCAACTGGACCAGAGCAGACCCACGTGATCCAATCACGACCTGACAATGATCTGACGAAGTGAAGCTCATTTACATCATCGCCATCCTTCCCCCATGGCGTTATTCTCTACCATCTCAACCATCCCCGCCATCTCCACCATCCCAACCATCCCAACCATCCCCACCATCTCCACAATTCCAACCATCCCCACCATCTCCACCATCCCCATGACCTACCACCCCCACCACCACCATCGCCATCATCAGAACGCACTCATCACCATCACCTTGACCATCACCACCGTGCCGGAGTGATGGGGAAGTTACGTGTGCGGTTGGTCCCGTTTGTTTGTTGGTATTGGAGGCTGGTGGTGGTGGGGGGGGGTTCAAGAAGTGAGTGGGGGGTGGGGGCGGAGGCTCGCCTGGTTGCCCCCGGCTTTGGGTGTCGCCTTGATGTGGTTGTGCAGGAGGCGAGTGGCCCCGTCCTGGAACGTCTTGGGCAGTGCCCCCAGCAGCATCGTGAACTCAGGGGGGTGCAGCTCGAACAGCGCAATCAGCACCGCCTGGGCCGCCTGGGCGGGGGGCAGGAGGGAGGGAGGGAGAACGCACGCACGCACGCACGGGTCTGTGCGTCTGGGTGCATGCGCGTGCATCGCAAAAGAACACACACACATACCTGTGTCTAAAGGGAACACAGGCCCGTGTGTGTCTGCGTCTCCAAGAGTACACACACACACAGATCTGTGATCATCTGAACCGGTTCCTGGGCCTCCCCTAGGTCGACTGCGCCTTAAATGAGTACTTGGTGCGGTGTGTAATAAACAACACCGGCCGGAGGGGGCGGAAGAGAAAGGCGGCCGAGCGTTGCGCCGACGCCGCCGCCCTCGTGAGCCGTGGCCGGCATTCACCGGTGCCGGCATTCACCGGTGCCGCTCTCTAACAACAGCTCTTGCCCCCAGCAGTCTGCAAAGGCTATAATGGGGGGGTGGGGATCTTTGTCTTTGTGTGGTCATGTGGGCGCCCTCGCACCTTCCTGACTTCCGAGCTTTTGGGCTCCGTGGTCCAGGTGATGATGCGCGACACGGCGAGCCTCGTCTCGCTCGCGTTCACAAAGCCCCGCGGCTCCATGATGCGGCTCAGTGCGCAGATGTACCTGAGCACTGCCACCTTCACCTGCGTGTGGGGGGAGGGGGTGGAAGGCGCGGTGACTATCACGGCCCAGGTCACGCGGCTCGGTGCATTCACAAAAACCTGTTGATTTATTTTTATCGGGATTCCGCTTGTATTACCCAGGAAAGCCTTGCTGAGTCTCAAGACTCGTCGTCAGGAGGATCCTGCCACGTGTTTGCAAGTAGGGGGCTGCTGTTGTGCATGATCCCGATTGAGTATATTTGCAGGTGATCTTTCAGCATTGGGATGTTTTGGCCGACACAAGTTGTACCGTGTGGGTGGTCATTGTTTAGCTATTAGGAATAAACCCGGAGGAAACCCACGCAGAACAGCGAGAACGCGCAAACTCCACACGGGACGGTGGCCCGGGGTCCGCAATCGAACCCAGGGGCTTCCTCGCCGTGAGGCGCGAGCGTCGCCGCTGCGCTTGCCGGCCAAAGCCGTAGGGGGAGATTGACGCGGCGCGACGCAAGGTGGCCGGGAGATGACAGTGTGGGTTCGTGAACCCATCTGTGCGGACCGCCGAAAGCGCGTGTTTGAGTATTCTTGTTGTCTCTTGTAGGCGGTGTAGCAAGCAGGACGCATCTCACCTTGAGGTTGAGCACCTGCGTCTGGTCCACCACGAAGCGCATGAGGATGTTGAACTGCAGGTCCGGGGGGAAGCATTCCCTTGTGGGCGCGCACACCGCATCGTCCCATCGTCATCACACCGTCGCATCGTCACACCGTGCCATCACACCATACTGTCACGCCGCTACATCATACCGTAGCATCGTCACATCATACTAGAGCAACGTTCCATCGTCATCACACTGTCGCATGGTCACACCGTGCCATCACATCATACCATCACGCCGTTACATCATACCATAATATCATCACATCATACTTTCGCATCATTCCATCGTCTTCACACCGTCGCAGCACCACACCATTACATCATACCATTACATCGTTCCATCGTCGTTACACCGTCACATCGTCACACTATAGCAACACATCATACCATCACAACATGTCCACATTAATGCGCTCACCATTAGAACATAGCATCAGACCATCACAACATCATGATTACTCCATCACATCGCACCGTTCCGGCGTCACAATCACGCCAGCTGATGTCACTGCAGCAACGGCGCAACCATCATACCACTGCATCGCTCCCGCACCGCAGTACACAACCCACCCTACACCTGGGCAGACTTAACCTGGTGACTAACTGACCTCACCATAATTTGTGACCTTAGTTGACCTCACATGGCTGACCTGTTCTGCTTTCACCTGGTGACCTTGACATCCAGGTAACCATGCATTGACCTGACCTGGTGACCACAACTGATTTCACCATGATGGCTTCACTTGACCTCACCACGATGACCTCACCATTCTGACCTCACCTGGTGACTCCTGCTGACCTCACTTGACTTCACCTGGTGACACCACCTGACCTCACCATGATGGCCTCACATGACCTAACCATGCTGACCTCACCAGACCTCACCATTCTGACCTCACCTGGTGACCCCAGATGACCTCACCATGCTGACCCCCGTCTGATCTCATGCTGACCTCACCATTCTAACCTCACCTGGTGACCCCTGCTGACCTCACTTTGACCTCACCTGGTGACCCCACCTGACCTCACCAAACTGACCTCGCCTGGTGCCTTTGCTCGACTCACCCGGTGCTTACCCCTCATTCAGCTTGCCTCACTAGGCGACCTCACCCCGCGCCGGGCAACCTCACCCCGCGCCGGCCTCACCTGGTGACGTCGAGACAGCGCTGGGCCTTGGCCTGCACGGAGCCCAGGAGATCGGCGCCCATCTTCTTGAGCAGCTGAGTGAGCAGCACGAAGAGCCAGTCGTGCAGCTCCGCGCGGTGCGTCAGCACAAAGTCCACGAGCGTCTCCAGGAACATGCTGAACACCTGGGGCGGTGGGGGGGGGTAGAGGTGAGGAGCACCGTTGGAGGTATGGGCCGCGGGTGCATGGAGTTGGGCGATTGGGACACGGTGGTTGGGGGGGGAGGGGCGCAGATGCAGCAACGCATGGAGAGGGGAGGATGGGACATGGGGGTACGGGGACAAAAGGACGTGTAGACAGGCGGACACGTGAACGTGAGGACATTGTCTGTACGGGCACGTGAGAACGGGGGGACGCGGGGACGTGAGAACGGGGGGACACGGGGACACGTGAACGTGAGGACATTGTCTGTACGGGCACGTGAGAACGGGGGGACGCGGGGACGTGGGCACGTGAGAACGGGGGGACGCGGGGACATGAGAACGGGGGGACACGGGGACGTGAGAACGGGGGGACACGGGGACGTGAGAACAGGGGGGACACAGGGACGTGAGAACGCGGGGGACACAGGGACGTGAGAACGCGGGGACGTGAGAACGGGGGACACAGGGACGTGAGAACGGGGGGACACAGGGACGTGAGAACGGGGGGACACAGGGACGTGAGAACGGGGGACACAGGGACGTGAGAACACGGGGACGTGAGAACGGGGGACACGGGGACGTGAGAACGGGGGGACACGGGGACACGTGAACGTGAGGACATTGTCTGTACGGGCACGTGAGAACGGGGGGACGGGGGGACGTGGGCACGTGAGAACGGGGGACGCGGGGACGTGAGAACGGGGGGACACGGGTTCGCAGCGCCGGACGCAAACCGCCGCGCCGCCGCGCCACTCCAGTGCTGCGTAGTACGCCGCATCAGAATTGGCCGAGTGTTTGTGCGGAACTCACTCTCTGCAGAATCCCGATCCAGGGCAGCGGGCACGTGGGGCCACAGGGGGCACAGGGGACACAGGGGTTGGAGACTTTAGGGGAATGGCAAGAAGGGCATTTCGGATTCGCCTCTCGACGTTGCGTCACGAGTGGGGGTGACATTACAGCACGCGTCACTCTCGTCGGAGATCCACCCGGCACACCCACCGCTCACCAACTCACCTGGATCCTCACCACTCGCCACGCTGTACAACAGTCTGGGAAACAACGATGGGAATTCAACGCCCCCCCCCCCACACCCCCACCCCTCCGTCCCCAATGGCACACGCCTATCAAATGTATGATATTTAAAATGGGGTCATGTTCATTTCCACGGCCGTTGTAAATGGTGGAGCGGATAAGCTCTGCCATTTAGCTCGTCCGCAGGTGTGCGAATGAATTGGAGGTCATCAGGTGTGAAGGTGACCAGGTGACCAGGTGACCGGTGACCAGGTGCGCAAGTGATAAAATAATGATCAGACAATACTCATCCCTCACATAGATGTGACAAACCTTACTAGTTGGCTGTGTCGGGTGGTGGCAGGTTTAACGACACTTTTATATTCTTGGTTCTTACGGTAAAGTCACGTAGAAGGGAAACAATAAAATAATAAAAATATATATAAAACAATAAAATTCTCACGACGTTTCGACTGCAACACAAGCAATCATCATCAGGTGTGAAAACCAACGCGATGATGACTGCTTGTGTTGCAGTCGAAACGTCGTGAGAATTTTATTGTTTTATATATTTTTTATTATTTAATTGTTTCCCTTCAACGTGACTTTACCGAAAGAACCAAGAATATGAATCACTGCAGTCACGAAAGCTTTAAATAAAAAAGACACTTTTATATATTTGTAACGGTGCTACGGGGCGATCGTCATATCCCTAGCCGGCGCCTCCGGGGGGGGAGGGGGCTGGGGGATGTTTGGATCCCCCGCGCCCCTCCCAACGGGTGGGGGCTGAGGGGTGTACTGGGATCCCACAGAACCCCGCCCCTCGGTAGGGAATTAGATAAAAGACGGGGACCCGAAAGAGTGAGGCATCTTCAACAAGCCGAAGCCAAAAGAACCAGTTGAAGATCGAAGTCCAGCTAGCTAGACACACTGGGACTCCTCTGACCCGCTGCCCTTGTAAGGGCCGGGCATAGCAAGCCAGTGGTGCGACCCCAGAGCCTCGGAGCCTGACGTCCTCCTAAGGGCCGGGTCCGTGTGGCTGGTGGTCGAGACCTGCGCCTTGGCTGGGCCAGGTCAGCTAGCCTCCCTTAGAAGAGGGCCGAGGTATAGCTAGGGAGCAGGCGAAGTTTAGCTGGGGAATACCTCCCCTAAGAGCAGCGAAGCTGTAACGGGGGTTAAGAGTTAATAAACGGTGTCGCCTCTACATCAACGTCTCCGAGTCCCAGCAAGTCGCTAGATATTTACGCGATCTCACCCAAAAAAAACTGTATTATGGATGATAATGGTCGCGAAAGCCTACTACTATATGTGAAACTGACCCTCCGTGGCTCCCATTTCGACGCAACGCCTCCATATATACAGCGCATAAAATACACAACACAGAATAATCAAAAGTAGACAATGCCTCTCTCACGTCAGTCTCTCCTCGTGCTAACGTAATTGTTTACACATCCCATCAGCGGCCACGTGATGCGCGGGCCACTCACCTTGCTGTGCGGATCGGCGAACATTCGCGTGAAGATTTCACAAAGACGCTTGAGCTCCACGCGGCTGTAGGGACACGGGGGGGAGACGCGGAGGGGGAGACACGGGGAGGTGAAACGGGAGAAGATACATAGGGAGGAGACACACGGGGGGAGACACACGGGGGGAGACACACGGTTGGGAGACACACGGTTGGGAGACACACGGGGGGAGACACACGGGGGGAGACAAGCGGAGATACATGGAGGCACACGAGGGAGACCGCGGGGAGACACACGTGGGGAGCGGGAGGAGGAGGCAGTAGTGTTACTGTCATCAGCAGCAGGAGGAGGAGAAGGAGTCACTGGAGGAGGCAGGTGCAGCAGCAGCAGCAGCAGGTGCAGCAGCAGGTGCAGCAGCAGCAGCAGCAGGTGCAGCAGCAGCAGCAGCAGGTGCAGCAGCAGCAGCAGCAGGTGCAGCAGCAGCAGCAGGTGCAGCAGCAGCAGCAGGTGCAGCATCAGCAGCAGGTGCAGCAGCAGCAGCAGGTGCAGCAGCAGCAGGTGCAGCAGCAGCAGGTGCAGCAGCAGCAGCAGCAGGTGCAGCAGCAGCAGCAGGTGCAGCAGCAGCAGCAGGTGCAGCAGCAGCAGCAGGTGCAGCAGCAGCAGCAGCAGGTGCAGCAGCAGCAGCAGGTGCAGCAGCAGCAGGACGAGCCGCAGTGTCCGCACCTGAGCGTGCGCTGTGCCCGCAGCAGCGCCTGCAGCGCGAGCAGCCCGTCGCGGCGCTCCGCCCAGTTGGAGCTGGCACAGCGGTTGAGGATGTCGGCCACGTCCTCCGCCTGGCGCGCGAGGTACGGGCCCGGGGCCCCCGGCGCGAGGGGGGCCCCGTGAGCCCCTCGCGACCCCCGCGAGCCGCACGAGCGCTCGGAGCAGGCGCTGGAGGCGTCGCTCATCGCGTCGTCGTCCGACGTCATCCCGTAGGCGTCGTAGCGGCGGCGCACCGGCTTGCGCTGCAGTGCCGGGAGAGAGTGGAGGGAGGGGGGGTAGAGAAGGGTAGTGGGCGTGTGGGCGACGAGGCAAACTGCAGTTGCGATCGACGGCATCGACCGCGGCGATTCAAAACAGGAGGCGTTGGGATGTTCTAACGCCAAATAGGAGCGGTGCGATTCGCTCATTTTCAGTGGGGGGTTGGGTGTGGGGCGCACTTGCGTCGAGAAGACGTCAGCGGTGCGAGGAGGGCCGCCGCGCATTTGACACCATTGGGGGCTTTGACAGCAGCACGTTGGGGGTGTTTTTCACGTGAGTTGTGTGTTGTTGTGTGGAGTTGTCGGAGGCCGCACTAAAGGCCACCAGGGGCCTTGCAATGAAGAAGCACTAAAAAACGGACACCCGTTGCAAGACATCGCGCCTGCAGTAACCACACGTGGTGCTTTGTGGTAAAACATGAAAACAAGCGCGCATTTGACAATAGTGTACGCATTGTCTTTGACAATAGTGTAAGGCATTGTCTTTGACAATAGTGTAAGGCATTGTCTTTGACAATAGTGTAAGCATTGTCTTTGATAATAGTGTAAACCTTTAACACCCAGTCGTTCATAAAAGTTAAAGGCGGTCTAGTACTATAGTAATAGAGCAAGTGCAGAATCACTGAACCGGAATTGATAGCTTGAAAGTGTGGGGCCCGTAGCTACTACATATGTAGCTCCAAGTGTAGCTACTACAAGTAGTAGCGGCGCATGTAGTAGCTACACATGTAGTAGCTACACATGTAGTGTAGCTACACATGTAGTAACTACACGTGTAGTAACTACACATGTAGTGTAGCTACTACATGTAGTGTAGCTACACTTGGAGCTACTACATGTGTAGTAGCTACGGACCCCACACTTTCAAGGGCCCCACGCTAAATGCTTCCAAGCTATCAATTCCGGTTCAGTGATTCTGCACTTGCTCTACTACTATAGTACTAGACCGCCTTCAACTTTTATGAACGACTGGGTGTTTAAGGTTAGCGATTTGTTGTATTATCTGGGCTGTATAGCAAATGAAAGAATACAATTACTTCACTATGAAAGTAAAAAATTAGCACTCTTTGGTTCTATTGGGTAAAGTCACGTAGGTAAAAAATAAAATAACAAAAAATCACGACGTTTCGACCACAACACAAGTGGCCTTCATCAGGTGAAGGGACCACCCTGTCCGGAGGACAGCGTTGGAGTGAAAAAAGTCAAGAGCAGGTCGCCTCCTTTAAGCTGTGAGTGGGTAAACAGAAAAGACGCCTTGACAAAGGAATTAGCATACAATGTAAAGCTGTGCAAGCTCGCAAATAGAATCAAAGATACATTAGCACCACCGTGAGAGTTTGGGATGCCACTAATTGAATGAATATACTGTACCATTAAAATTTCATTTAACGTTTGGTTCGATTTAGAACATCTTTCCAATGGTTGCTTAATTTGAAGCCATCTTCTCAGTTGAAAATTTTAATGGTACAGTATGTTCATTCAATTAGTGGCATCCCAAACTCTCACGGTGAGGCTAATGTATCTTTGATTCTATTTGCGAGCTTGCACAGCTTTACATTTTGTGCTGATTCCTTTGTCAAGGCGTCTTTTCTGTTTACCCACTCACAGCTTAAAGGAGGCGACCTGCGCTTGACTTTTTCACTCCAACGCTGTCCTCCGGACAGGTTGGTCGCTTCACCTGATGAAGGCCACTTGTGTTGTGGTCGAAACGTCGTGATTTTTTGTTATTTTATTTTTTACCTACGTGACTTTACCCAATAGAACCAAAGAGTATGGATCCTTGCAGTCACGAAAGCTTTAAATCTAGAATTAAAAAATTAGTGTTTTATTATTTGTGTTTTATGTTTTATTTAGGGCCCCTTCATAACAAATTCTACAGGCCCCGCACTAGCTTAGTCCGGCACTGGCAGCAGCACCATGAGTATCAGCACCATGAGTATCAGCACCATGAGTATCAGCACCATGAGTATCAGCACCATGAGTATCAGCACCATGAGTATCAGCACCATGAGTATCAGCACCATGAGTATCAGCACCATGAGTAACAGCACCATGAGTATCAGCACCATGAGTAACAGCACCATGAGTATCAGCACCATGAGTAACAGCACCATGAGTATCAGCACCATGAGTAACAGCACCATGAGTAACAGCACCATGAGTATCAGCACCATGAGTAACAGCACCATGAGTATCAGCACCATGAGTAACAGCACCATGAGTATCAGCACCATGAGTATCAGCACCATGAGTATCAGCACCATGAGTAACAGCACCATGAGTATCAGCACCATGAGTATCAGCACCATGAGTATCAGCACCATGAGTAACAGCACCATGAGTAACAGCACCATGAGTATCAGCACCATGAGTAACAGCAAGCTCCACTCACCTACCTTGATGCACCCATCTCAGACCTACATAAGACCTTGTCTCAGCAGCTCTCTCTCTCTCTCTCACCTGAAGACGATCGCTTGTTGTTGCCATGGAAACGTCGTGGTCTATTATTATTTCTTTACGTGACTTGACTGAAAAACCCAAAGAGTGTGAACTACAGTAGTGTGAACTACAGTAGTGTGAACTACTGTAGTGTGAACTACAGTAGTGTGAACTACTGTAGTGTGAACTACAGTAGTGTGAACTACTGTAGTGTGAACTACAGTAGTGTGAACTACAGTAGCGTGAACTACAGTAGCATGAACTACAGTATTGTGAACTACTGTAGTGTGAACTACTGTACACTACAGTAGTGTGAACTACAGTAGTGTGAACTACAGTAGTGTGAACTACAGTAGTGTGAACTACTGTAGTTCACACTACAGTAGTGTGAACTACAGTAGTGTGAACTACAGTAGTGTGAACTACAGTAGTGTGAACTACAACAGTGTGAACTACAGCAGTGTGAACTACTGTAGTTCACACTACTGTAGTGTGAACTACAGTAGTGTGAACTACAATAGTGTGAGGCGTATCAGCAAACGTCATGCCAGGCATCATTCATCTGCCATTGTCTTAAACTACAATGAATCGGCATTCTTCACCATCATCATCATGGACCATCCCCATTTTCTACCGTTCCTGTCACAGTGATTCGTGAAATATCACCGCCCGTTATCCATCCAACCCCGACCGCAATCGCTCATCAGCCACGATCAGCCAAGACCACCACCACGCACGTCCCACGCCCCCGTCGCTGTGCGGTCATGAGCGTAGTAGATCACCAGACTCGCCGTCTCACCTTGGCTCTGGTGCTTCCGGTCTAGAGGGACAGCGAGACGGACGGGGAGAGAGACCGGGGAGAGGGGGGACACGGGAAGAAGTGAGACGGGGGACAGGGAGACGTGTGTGTGCGTGTGTGTCTCGTGGTGTACCCAGTGACGATTGTGGTCCTGGACCTCCCCTAGGTCGACTCAGCCTCAAATGAGTACCTGGTGTGGTGTGCAAAATCATGGACGCTGGGGAGACAAAGGCGGTCCGGCGTGGTGCTGGCCACTCACCCCCTCGTGTACCGTGTCGGCCTTAATCGGTGCTTGCTAACAGGAATTGCCCCAACAGTCTGCTAATGCTATATGGGGGATCTTTGTCTTTGTGTACATGCACACGTGTGTGTGTGTTTGATGGTGGTAGTGGTGTAATCTGCATTGGCTAAAACGCACAGTGGGGAACACGGTTGGTGCATCTGCCAGTCATCTCAGTGAGTCAACCCATGGCACCCGGGTTTGTCCCGTGATCTCCTGCCAGCGAGTCTTCGACACTTCATGTGGCCTGAAGGTGCACCGAGCCTGGTACAAGTGCTGTTGTGACGTCACCGCGACCGAGTGCCAAACGGCGGTCGTTGTTGTTGTTGTCCAAGTTTGTCTCATGTCCCCATGTCTTCCTGTCTCCCTGTGTCTTTCTGTGTGTGTGTCCCTGTGCGTCTTCACGTCTCCCCACACATTCCTGTGACCTCGTGTGTACCCCCGGGGCCCCATGTCCCATATCTCGTGTCCCCTTGACCCCCACCTCCATGTCTCTGTGTCCCCCCCCCCTCCGTGTCCCCCCTTTTGTCTCCCCGTTGTGTGTCCCCCCCCTGTGTCCCCCCCCGTGTCCCCCCCCCCCCATGTCCCCCCCCCCCCCCACGAGTTCCCCCCCGTGTCCCCGTGCGGCACCAGCGCATCCGCCACGGCCGCCTCCACGTCAGACCCCGGGTCGAGGAATCGCATCGCGTTCACGGACGACGAGATTCCCCGGCTCTGCATCAGCGAGTAGGGGTCTACATGCACCCAGCACACACACGCACACACAAAGACAAATATTTCCCGTGTAGCCTTTAACGGACTATTGGGGCAAGTGCTGTTAACGAGCACCAATGAATGTTCGCACAAGGAGGTGATGTGTTAAATAATCGAATTAAACGTGCATTTCGAATCCCCTTGCCTTGAGTGTTAATGCTACCGCGGGTTTACTACAGTCGCATACGTAGCTCCTCCCGAATGGAGAGCCAGCCAGCCGGGGCTGGAGCTCACCGCCCTATCGGTCGGGCTAGCCGGGGTGGCACGCACGTACACGGGCACAGCCCGGACTGCCCCGCGTGTCCCGTCGACCCCTTCGCCCACCTGAAGGCACAAAGCTGTTGGTGAGGGCGCTGGTGGAGCGAGACTGCTGTCGCGTAGCTGGGGGGGGGGGGGGGGGAAGAGAGGAGGGGGAACACAGGTCCATCTTATGTTTGTGTAACCAGGTGAGTGCCACGGTGGCTGGGAGATGTTAACTACCTCTCCTGGTGTACAGGAGGGCGTGGGTTTGATCCCGACCCTGACGCCTGCTGCTGTATAATTGGAGTTTGCGTGTCTCTCTCTCATTATTCATCATGGTGGCTAGGAGATGTTAACTACCTCGCCTGGTATGCAGGAGGTCGTGCATTCGATCCCGACTCTGATGCCTGCTGCTGCTGTATATTTGGAGTTTGCGTGTCTCTCTCTCATTCTTCATCACAGTGGCTAGGAGATGTTAACTACCTCGCCTGGTATGCAGGAGGTCGTGCGTTCGATCCCGACTCTGATGCCTGCTGCTGCTGTATATTTGGAGTTTGCGTGTCTCTCTCTCTCTCTCTCTCATTCTTCATCACAGTGGCTAGGAGATGTTAACTACCTCGCCCGGTATGCAGGAGGTCGTGCGTTCGATCCCGACTCTGATGCCTGGAGTTTGCGTGTCTCTCTTTCTCCCCCGTGGTCACGTTGATTGTTCTCCGGGTCCTCCGGTTTTTTCCGCCACATTTAGAATCAACGAGCGTTTGGAGTATTTGGCTGCTATACATTTCCACAGGATGAGCCATTTCTTTGAGCTATCATTTGTGGTGGCCAGGTTGCTTATATAAAAAAAAAACAGCAATATAGCTCAGTGGGCCTTACGTGGTAAAATAAAAATTATTTATTTTTATAACTCAAGAGACCAGGATGGCGTCTCATTTCGCAAGAGTGGCCTGGGAGATAGCTGTACATACGACAATGTACGTGTATGTGAATCTGTGTGTATATGTGTATATATGTATGCACGTATGTGTATCTGTGTCAAGCTAATGGAGAGAGTGGTAGTGCAGTGGTTACCGCACTGCGCTATGAACCCACAGGCTCGGACGTTGATTCCCGCTCACGGACAAGATCAGTGGCGAATATCTGATCCGGTGCTGGGTCTCGCCTAGGTTGACTCAAACTTAAATGGGTACCCAGTGGTTCCGGTGGGTCACGCATCACCGCTGGGGAGACAAAGGCCGCCGGGCGTGGTGCTTGCCACACCGCCTCCTCGTGTAGCGTATTGGGCTTCACAGGGGCTCGCTTAACTGCACTTGTCCCAACATCCTTGACCAGGCTACACGGGGGATCTTTGTCTTGATGTCTCTACGCGAGCGAGTGAGCGAGTGATCAAATGATTGAGCGAGAGAGTGAGAGAATGAGCGGGTGGGTGAGTGAGAGAGTAAGTGAGCGAGCGAGCGAGTGCTCTCACTCACAGTGCGCCGTGAATGCTCGCACGGGGCTGGGGTCGCGGCTGCTCTCCCTGCTCGTGTCGCGGCTGCAGCCCTGGCTCAGGCTCACTCGGGGGATGCGGCTCCCGCGGGCTGCACACGCACACACACACATGTACACACGCACACACGCGCACACAAAGATAAGCACACACACGTACACACGCACACACATGTACACACGCACACACATGTACACACGCACACACATGTACACACGCACACACGCGCACACAAAGATAAGCACACACACGTACACACGCACACACATGTACACACGCACACACATGTACACACGCACGCACGCGCACACACGCGCACACACGCACGCACACACACACATGCACACACACACACGCACACACACACACACGCAACAAAGGCAAAGATATCCCCCGTGTAGCCTTAACTGACTGTCGGGGCAAGTGCTATTAACGAGCAACACCTATGAAGGCCGACACGGCACACGAGGGGGTTGGGTGGCAAGCATCATGCCTGGCCGAGGCGAGGCCCAGGATATCTTTTAAAAAGAGCTTCATAGCTCATCGAATTCCACCAGTATAAATAAATATTCTGATTCTGGTTAAAATATTCTCCACTGTTATTATTGGTCACGAGCGGGAATTTAACTCGTAGCACAGCGTGATAACCGCTCCACTACCACTCCCCACACGCACGCACACACACACCATACTTCACTACGCAATGACCAGCGTAGTGAAGTATGGTCAAACAACTCCCGCCTCCCCCCCCCCAACCCCATTTACTGACGGCGTTGGGAGGCCTCCATCAAACTGTGGCTAGATAAAAGGCTGACACTATTGTTATAAATATTTATATTCCATGAAACGCACGTTGCAACTAATGGACAAAAAAGACAAAGATCCCCCGTATAGCCTGTAACAGACTGTTGGGGCAAGTGCTGTTAGCGAGCACCTATGAAGGCCAGCACAGCACACAAGGGGGTGGGTGGCCAACACCACGCCCGGCCGCCTTAGTCTCCCGAGTAGCGATGTTTACACACCGCACCAGGTACTAATTTGAGGCTGAGTCCACCTAGGGGGAGGCCCAGGACCGGTTCAGGATAATCGTCACCGGTGTTGTCCGTGAGTCGGAATCGAACTCGGGTCGCCGGGTTCATAGCGCAGCGCGCTAACCGCTACACTACCGCTCCCCATGCGCGCACACGCACCACATGCACACACACACACAGACACACACACCACATGCACACACACGCGCAAGTGGACGCAAAGGTGGTGAAACAAAACATCGCTTTAGGCGAGGCAGTCCTGCGGGATTTGACGAACGGCAGTCTGGGCACGGTGTGCGGGATGAAGCCGCGGTGTGACTGGAGGAAACCCCGGTGCTGTTGGAAGCCACCTGGCCTATCGTTCCACACGAAGCTCTGGGTCGTTTTTTTCTCCTCTCTTCTCTACATTCGTAAACCGTGGGCAGCAGCAATACCTTTGCCGGCTCGAAGCATTCAGGCCAGCCTGCCTACGGTCCTGGATTTAACCAGACTGGATTTAGGAGTAGGAACCGTTCTGAATGGTACTGGCGCGCGTGCGTGCGTCTGGTGTTCTGACAAGTGGCGGTAAGGCGTGCCATCATATACCGGCCCAAATGGGACGGCCGGGTGTATGTGTATCTGTGTGTTCGCGCCTCGATCAGTATATACACAGTCGTGTGAGTGAGCGAACGAGCGAGTGATTGAGTGAGCGAGAGAGTGAGCGAGAGAATGAGCGGGTGAGTGAGAGAGTGAGCGAGCAAGTGATTGAGTGAGCGAGAGAATGAGCGGGTGAGTGAGAGAGTGAGCGAGAGAGTGATTGAGTGAGCGAGAGAGTGAGCGAGAGAATGAGCGGGTGAGTGAGAAAGTGAATGATCGAGTGAGCGAGTGATCAAATGATTGAGCGAGAGAGTGAGAGAATGAGCGGGTGAGTGAGAGAGTAAGTGAGTGAGCGAGTGCTCTCACTCACAGAGCGCCGTGAATGCTCGCACGGGGCTGGGGTCGCGGCTGCTCTCCCTGCTCGTGTCGCGGCTGCAGCCCTGGCTCAAGCTCACTCGGGGGATGCGGCTCTCCCGAACTGCCGGGATGGGGCGTGGGAGGGGGGTGAGAATGGACACTCACAAAGATACTCACAGAGATTCCGAGTTCTTTAGTTGAACCAGGTGAGACGTCACAGAGACCAGGAGTCACCTGCGGGGCATCGGTCTGCAAGTTGGGGGCAACAATTGCTGTTGCTGCTGCTGCTGCGTGTGTGCGTGTGTGTGGAAGATCCCACTTTCGTCCTTTGCGGTGTGAATTGTTTTATTTGGCAAATTTTGCACCCCTGACGCCGGCACACGACGGCCCCACTAGCCAATTACATCGGGGGGATCTTTAACTCCCAGCAGACGACGCGTAGCGTTACCATGGTTATTACACACCCGCAGTAATAACCAGGGCAGCCGCTGGATTCAAACCGTGAAGCTCTGGAAAACACTACCGCGTCAGTATTGTCTATAACCTGATAGACTGTTGGGGCAAGTGTTGTTAGCTAGCAGCTATTCAGGTCGGCACAGCGCATGAGGGGGTGGGTGATTGGGTGTCCAGCGGCACGCCTGGCCGTCTTTTCTACCCAGTGCTGATGTTCACACACCGCACCAAGTACTCGTATGAAGCTGAGTCAGCATACAGGAGGCAAATGACCAGTTCACACCGCACACGCATTGACAAACATACTCAAATGCACAACACACAGACTTGCGCACGTGAATTCACGCAAGCACAGATGCACGCAGAGACCATCAAATCGCAACACTCGAGAACCTGGTTTAACCGCAGTTTGGTGGCTCAGGTCTAGGGCCTAAGCACAGAAATACTGGAAAGATCCAAATAAAGCTTTAAGAGAAAACGTATAATAATTATAAGGAAATATGTAAGCCTTAGTGCGGTCGCAATGCCGTGGGCGTGGCAGCCGTCGCTAGGGACCGCATCATCACCCCCATCGAACTGGCCAATCAGCTGCCAGGAACCACAACCCCATGCAAAATGGCTTGAAGTAACCCGTGCAGCACGGCCGACATGATGTTGTTACAGTCGGTCTATGGCTGAAGGAGGTCCACTTGTGTTTAGTGTTTAATTACATTCGTTATTAATGTCATTAATATTATCAGTGTTGTTAATATGAATGTTGTCGTTAATTATGTTATTTGTTATCAGTCGACTCTTTAATCTACTTGGACAATCGATGTACGAGCACCCCTTAAGTTTTCTCCTAACTGTACGACGCTTTTGTGTCTGAGCCCCTTTACACGCCTCGCAACTTACAATATCTCTAGAATCGCACAAGTCCTGTGCTCGGGCCCCTGCGTTAGTTCCCAGGAACTCGACGGTTCCGAGCGAGATTTTGGACTAGACTCCAGTGGCCAGTTGCATAAAGACCCCTCAAGGGAAAGATTGATTCAGAGTTAAGGGCATGATTTATGCAACTGACCCCAGGTATTGGCCCTGCCTGACCACTATGCTACCCGACCTTCTTGTGCTCTCTCTAAGATTGCAGTTCCCCTTTTTTAAAAAAGATTATTGAAGGTCTTGCCCCATGCCGCTCCAGCGGCCAGAGAGGCCTCCTCACAAAGCCACCCACATTCATCGACCTTCGCTCCTCGCGACGAGCTTGCTCCTTCTCTTGAGATCTGCTTCTTGCCGCTCCTGCTGTCTGGAATTCTCTTCCTCCTGTACTCCGGTGTGGCTGAGACTCTGCACTTTGCTCGGGTCAAGGCTAAACACTCATTTGTATTCATACCAATTTGAGTAAACAGTTTCTATTTTTCATCTTAGCATCATCACGATCCAAGGGCAGATAGCCCGTAGGTGTCCACTGCACATTTGGTCATTTGTTTCCACTTTCCCTCTGTCTTGTGCCAATAAAGTCAAGTAGTGGGCAAATCATTCTGGCACCGATCTCTTACGTCGTCGTTAAGCCAATCTCTGTTGGGTCTTCCTCTCATTTCCGGTTCCTTCCATCTTCCCCGAACGACGACAACACATTTGGATTTAAAGCTTTCGTGACAGCAGGGATTCATATTCTTGGTTCTTTCGGTATAGTCACGTAGAAGGGAAATAATAAAAAATAAAAAAATAAAAATTTAATTCTAATTCTCACAAGACGACAAACACACTTTTCACTTCCCCTGCCGTTCGTCCAAACCCTACATCTGCAATCGTTCCTATTGCCCTCTGTCTTTATTTCTACCCAACTACTCTCAATGACTCACTCACGTCGCCCAGAGTGGGATGCGGTCGCGTTTACACGCCGCGTCCACGACTGTCACCGTTGCTTTTTAACCCTTCTCTGACCCCTCCGGCTGATTCCGCGCGGCGCCCCCGTACCGGAGGGCCCGATCCTGGCCGGGCTCGAGTCTCGGCTGCCCCCGAGGCTGCGTGGGATCCGGCTGACCCGCTGCCCCGAGGGGCCCCCTGCCCCCGCTTGAGGGACCTGGGACAGGAGCGGCGGAGCGGGGAGGGCGCAGGCCGGCGCAGGGATCGGGGGTCGGGGCCCACGTGATACCCTCGTTCCCATCCCCGCCAGGAACCGGCCCGGGGAGCTGGAGCGGCTGCCTGGATGGGGTGGGGGGGGGCAATGCGAAATGGCTATGGTGTAAACATCGCCACTGGGGAGACAAAGGCGGCCGGGCGTGGTTCTGGCCACCCACCCCCTCGTGTGCCGTGCCGGCCTTCATAGGTGCTACTCGCTAACAGCACTTGCCCCTACAGTCTGTTGAGGCTACACACTGGGGGATATTTTATGTCTGTCTATTAGCCTGTGTGTGTGTGTCTATTAGCCTGTGTGTGTGTCTATTAGCCTGTGTGTGTGTGTCTATTAGCCTGTGTGTGTGTGTCTATTAGCCTGTGTGTGTGTCTATTAGCCTGTGTGTGTATGTCTATTAGCCTGTGTGTGTCTATTAGCCTGTGTGTGTGTCTGTTGTCCTGTGTGTGTGTCTATTAGCCTGTGTGTGTGTCTGTTGTCCTGTGTGTGTGTGTCTATTAGCCTGTGTGTGTGTCTATTAGCCTGTGTTTGTGTGTGTCTATTAGCCTGGGTGTGTGTGTGTGTGTCTATTAGCCTGTGTGTGTGTCTATTAGCCTGTGTGTGTTTATTAGCATGTGTGTGTCTGTTGTCCTGTGTGTGTGTCTATTAGCCTGCGTGTGTGTGTCTATTAGCCTGTGTGTGTCTGTTAGCCTGTGTGTGTGTCTATTAGCCTGTGTGTGTGTCTATTAGCCTGTGTGTGTGTCTGTTGTCCTGTGTGTGTGTCTATTAGCCTGTGTGTGTGTCTATTAGCCTGTGTGTGTGTCTGTTGTTCTGTGTGTGTCTATTAGCCTGTGTGTGTCTAATAGCCTGTGTGTGTGTGCGTCTATTAGCCTGTGTGTGTGTCTGTTGTCCTGTGTGTGTGTCTATTAGCCTGTGTGTGTGTGTCTATTAGCCTGTGTGTGTGTGTCTATTAGCCTGTGTGTGTGTGTTGTCCTGTGTGTGTGTCTATTAGCCTGTGTGTGTGTCTGTTGTCCTGTGTGTGTGTGTCTATTAGCCTGTGTGTGTGTGTCTATTAGCCTGTGTGTGTGTCTATTAGCCTGTGTGTGTCTGTTGTCATGTGTGTGTCTATTAGCCTGTGTGTGTCTGTTGACCTGTGTGTGTGTGTCTGTTGTCCTGTGTGTGTGTGTCTGTTGTCCTGTGTGTGTGTGTTTGGCCACTGGCGTGCTGATGTGAGTGCAAGCTGTGGTGTGGGGCCCACGCTGGTTCTGGGAGACGGATTTCGCCGCTGGGCGTCCGTGCCGTTCGCCGGGAGAGCCCAGAGACCCCACGCCTCCCGGCTTGTGTAGGATGCCTGGGGAACACGGCGGTGATGGTGGCGGTGATGGTGACGTGGTGGTGGTGATGGTGGTAGTGATGGTGGTGTTGGAGGTGGTAGTGATGGTGGTGGTTGAGGTGGTAGTGATGGTGGAGGTGGTAGTGATGGTGGAGGTGGTAGATGTGATAGTGATGGTGGAGGTGGTAGTGATGGTGGTGGTGGTAGTGATGGTGGTGGTGAAGGTGGTAGTGATGGTGGTGGTTGAGGTGGTAGTGATGGTGGTGGTTGAGGTGGTAGTGATGGTGGAGGTGGTAGTTATGGTGGTGGTAGTGATGGTGGTGGTGATGGTGGAGGTGGTAGTTATGGTGGTGGTGGTAATGGTGGAGGTGGTAGTTATGGTGGTGGTAGTGATGGTGGTGGTTGAGGTGGTAGTGATGGTGGAGGGGGAAGTGATGGTGGTGGTGGATGTGATAGTGGTGGTGGAGGTGGTAGTGATGGTGGTGGTTGAGGTGGTAGTGATGGTGGTGGTGGTAGTTATGGTGGTGGTAGTGATGGTGGTGGTGATGGTGGAGGTGGTAGTTATGGTGGTGGTAGTTATGGTGGTGGTTGAGGTGGTAGTGATGGTGGAGGTGGTAATGATGGTGGTGGTAGTGATGGTGGTGTTTGATGTGGTAGTGATGGTGGAGGTGGTAGTTATGGTGGTGGTAGTGATGGTGGTGGTTGAGGTGGTAGTGATGGTGGAGGTGGTAGTGATGGTGGTGTTTGATGTGGTAGTGATGGTGTTTGATGTGGCAGTGATGGTGGTGTTTGATGGTGTCGCTTCCTTTGCCGTCAGTGACGATGACGTTGCTGCTGATGACGACGATACAAGGACAACGACACCAACTGCACGCGTAGGTTGCCACATCGGTTCGCAGTTTCGAAAATGCAAAACATCTCCGCTTTGATGGGACTTACGTGAACCATCGCCGGCTGATGCTTTGTGTTGTTTCAAGAGAAACGTCGCGAATCCAAGCGCTTAAACTTGGCCGTGGGAATTTTCCTTCAACCTAACCGGTGAGCGAGCTGCGATGATCATAGTTGGCGCTTCGGAAAAACGATTGTACACCACGTGACAATTTCACAAAGACGGTCACCGCATCGCGCGCTTTCAGATGCGCTTCTGCAGCCGTCTGGGACGCTCTGCCTTCCGGTATTAGGAAGCCACTGGAGATATGCACTTTTAAATCATCTCGATTTAAAACTAATTTATTTCGAACGGATTTTGTGTTTAGTTTGTTGTCCTTCCCTCCATACCTCCGATTATCACGGTTGGCTACGTACGGTGCAAAAGAAGTTCAACATACATATACAGTACATACATATACAGTACATACATATACAGTACATACATTGAGCAGCGTCGGGTGGTGGAGGGTTACACGACGCAAGTTTGGTCAGATCATTTCGTGGCCTAACCCAAAATTCAATTGCGGATTAACAACGAAAACGAATGACGGTGATTGTTTTCATCGTCGTCGTCATCATCATCATCGTCGTCATCATCATCGTCGTCATCGTGATCGTCGTCATTATCGTCTTCGTCGTTATCATCATTGTCATCATCGTTATCATCATTGTCATCATCGTCGTCATCGTCGTCATCATTGTGGTCGTCGTCATCGTCGTCGTCATCATCGTTATCGTCGTCGTCGTCATCGTCGTCATCATGATCGTCGTCATCATGACCGTCGTCATTGTCGTCGTTATCATCGTCGTCATCATCGTCGTCATCGTCGTTATTGTCGTCGTCATCGTCGTCGTCACTCACCGTATCCGCTGCTCGTCACGTGGTGCCGGGCCGGTGCTGTCGGGGGTCGCTCGCGTCCCAACGCGACCCCGACCCCCGACCCCGCACCCGAGGCGCCCCCCGAGCCGGCCGCCATGCGCGCCTTGGCGCTGTGCGCCGCGCCCACGTCCACGTCACTGCGGGAGCGCTGCATCGCGCCAGGCGCGCAGGGCGGGGGCTTGCGGGCACCGGCCGGCACTGGCAGAGACAGGGAGAGGAGAGAGGAGAGAGATCAGCTTCGAGTTGGACTCAACAACATTTAGTCGGGCAACAAATTTAACACAAAGTCGAATGTGTTGTTGTTTGTTGTTGTTGTTTGTTGTTGTTTGTTGTTGTTACTGTGTTTTTGCACCCCCCGCCGATGCAGTTAGCATTAAATAATTCGGCCATGTTTTAATTTCCACTTGATAAGCCACTTCGTTGAGCTATCATTTGTGGCCAGATCGATTCCGCAAAAAGAAGCTAATAGCTCAGTGGGCTTAACCGGGTAAAATTTAAAGCTTCATTTTATTTGTATTGTTTTCGTGATTTGTTTACCTTTCCTATACTTTGCACTCCGACAGTAATTCTGTATTGTTTGTTGTAACACTCTGACCCCGTGCTCCTACTGTGGACCATCTGTGAAAAAGAGCTAATCCTGACTCCCTGCACGCAAGAACCAACCCGGTTCAACTACAGGCAGCAGCGGTGGCCGAAACCTGGATTCACGGCCAGGATCTCAACGCCCCGAACTCCGAGCCAGCCGGCCACGCGACAACACAGCCTGACTGGCGCTCACCTTTGGTCTTCGTTGCCACGTGAACGTTGTGGGGCAGTCCTCTCTTGCCCAGGTGGCGGCTGTGTTCGGAGCGGGGATGGGACAGGATGGATGGGGTGGGGCGGGGGCGGGTGGGGGGGGGGGCAGAGGTGAGCACAGGTGAGTGCACTGCTCACCTGTGTTAGTGTTCTATGGTATATTCGTGTGCCACTTTTCTGGTGTCACTGTGTCAGTGATGTGTTAGTTGGCACAGTGGGAACCACAGGTGGTGCATCTGCCAGTCATGTCAGTCGGTCGACCCGTACCACCTGGGTCTGTCCCGTGACCTCCTGCCAGCGAGCCTTTTACACTTCGCGTTTGCCTCGAGGTGCACCTAGCCTGGCACAAGCGCCGTGATGGCGTCGCCGCCGCTGAGTGGCGAACGGCGGCGGTTGTTGCGATACGGTTTTGTAATGTCACGGCGTTCTTCTTCTCGTGTCCTGCCACCACAGTCGCATCGCGCACGTGATGATGAAATTCCCAGCAGCGGATAGACCACGACTCATGACGATGACGATGATGGGGTCAGCAGCCTGCGGTTCCCAAGCCGCACGCGACTCTTTGGCTTCCCCCTTGCGAGCAGCCGTTGTTTCGTTTTGTCACTGAAATATTAAACGTAACTGAACGTAAATTGATTCGATACGGCAGGGAATGGGTGACCGCGGAATGACTTGGTGACGACAGAATGTACAACAGTCAAAACTGTATTGTTAGAGATTAACTAAAGAGGGGGGAAACGAAAAAGACGCAGTTTGTTACATCGCCTGTTCTGTTTAAGTCAGAATGTGTGTTTGTCATCCGCTGTATTACCCGCTGGGTCTGTGTTTGTGGCGTACGAGCGGCTCCTGCGTGCGACGGGGCTCTCGAAACTATTTTGGTCAAAGACAAAAGCGCTAAACAAAAATCTCTCCTTCTTCTTCTTCTTCCTCCTCCTCCAAATGTTTGCCGACCCCCGCACACCAGCACGTCATCCGTGCGGTGGCCGCGTCCTCCACCACGGCACGGCGGCGGCCAGTCCGGCGGGGCTGCCCCCCGCCAAACTGCCCCCCCCCTGCCCCCCCTTTCCCCCCCCCCCGCTCCCCCTGCCCCCCAGCCCCGCCCCTTACTTGAGGCTCTCCTGGGAGCTGCTGGACGATCGGTCCGAGTGCGGCTGCAGGAGGCCCGAGCCGTTGGGGTGGGCGCCGCCGCGCTGCGCCGTCACGGCCCGCTGGTACGACGGCTCCAGCGACGTCAGCAGCGCCTTGGCCGCGCCGGGGGCGTGGTTGTGGAGCCCCCAGTAGGCCCTGGGGGGCGGTGCGGGGGGCACGCAAGCGTTAGGGGGAGCTGCGGTGCCCACGGTTTGGATCGGGTCGGCACAGCGGTAACACCCGGAGCCGTCGTGGCACGACCGCTCCTCGTGGGTGCGGTAGTCCGTTGTTGTGTGCAATGGTAGTCCGTTGTGGTGTGCAATGGTAGTCCGTTGTGGTGTGCAATGGTAGTCCGTTGTTGTGTGCAATGGTAGTCCGTTGTTGTGTGCAATGGTAGTCCGTTGTGGTGTGCAATGGTAGTCCGTTGTTGTGTGCAATGGTAGTCCGTTGTTGTGTGCAATGGTAGTCCGTTGTTGCGTGCAATGGTAGTCCGTTGTTGTGTGCAATGGTAGTCCGTTGTTGTGTGCAATGGTAGTCCGTTGTTGTATGCAATGGTAGTCCGTTGTTGTGTGCAATGGTAGTCCGTTGTTGTGTGCAATGGTAGTCCGTTGTTGTATGCAATGGTAGTCCGTTGTTGTGTGCAATGGTAGTCCGTTGTTGTGTGCAATGGTAGTCCGTTGTTGCGTGCAATGGTAGTCCGTTGTTGCGTGCAATGGTAGTCCGTTGTTGTGTGCAATGGTAGTCCGTTGTTCCTCACTCCCGCACTATCCGATTAGCACGTACGTTCCGAGAGAAGTTCAACATACAAGGGGCCCGGGTTCGATTCCCGACTCGGCTGCCTCGCTGTGTGGAGTCTGCGTGCTCTCTCTCTCTCTCTCCGCCCTGGTCTGCGTGGTTCCCTCCGGGTTCCCCGGGTGTCCTCCCATTGCTTAAACAACAAAAGCCCATGCAGTGGAACCGGTGATGGCCAAAACATCCCAATGCTGAAAAATTACACTGATAATTATTACTCAGTGGGGATCCCACACACAGCAGTAACATCACCCCCCCCTCCTTCAAAAACTTTGCAAGATCCTCCTGAGAAATAGAGTCTTGAGATTCAGCGAGGCTTTCCTGGGTAAAATGAGTGTCATGATTATAACAACAACCCGAAAAACGGATCAAGAATAAAAATCGCACGATCGTAATCGTGTGTCACCCTGAGACGTCTGATACGTCGTGGCCGCATTACAATGGCGAGTTGTTGTTATTGTTGCGTCGGTTTGGGCCCCGTAAGGTTCTTCACGACCCGGAGCCCCACCCGGGATCTGATTCAGGGCCCCGCGCTCACACTCACTTCCGCGCCTCGAGTCTCGCGTCCGAGTCCGCGTCCGTGATCCCCTTGCGCACCGTGTCCACCAGCAGGCTCACGTGTCTGCCGACAGACAGAGAGACAGTCGGACGGACGGACAGACGGAGATACAGACAGACAGGCGGGCGAGTCCATCGTATCTGCAAATGGCGAGAACGCCCATCGTCACGACAGAGACATCCACGCAGGTCGGGAAAAACCACAAGTTTCAACGGGCACGCAGGAAGACGTGTCGACAAAGGGCACTCGGCCTGCCTGCATTATGCAGAAATACCATCGACAGTTCCCGAACAACGGCATTTTGGCCCTGCTTGTTGATTTCACAAATTCTAGACGCGTTCGAGCGGAGGTCGTCGAGCGAGCCAATGGGAGGCTTCAGCAGTTGCCTCATGGTGGACATCTGAGGTCCGTGAACAGCGGCGTCGCGATGCGGTCCACGTGGTTCGAGATGGGCGTTTGCAGAGGGCTTGGAGGTGCTGTCCCGACCCCCTAACGCCATACCCACAGTGACGGACCGCCGTTCCCCCGCCCCGCCCCGCCCCGCTCACCTCTCCAGCGCAGCCGTCTGCCACTCCTGGAACATGAGGTCCAGGAACTCGAAACTGCGTCTGAAAAGGCGCGCGACACGGCAAGCGTTCACGCGACGGTCTCGCAATCTACCCCCTCATGGCTAATCATCGTCGTGGCAGTCGTGGTTTGTTCGTTCTACCGCGTCTCCCATGCGGTGCAAAATAAATACAGGTACTTGAGATAATTACATGGGTAGAAAAAGTCAGTTTAACACGTAGGCGTTCGCGACCAATATTATCCATAATAGAGGTTTTTGGGATAGATCCTGTAAATATAAATTAAACAGGAGGAGCTTTTCTCCGTAACTCTGGCTGTCGCCTGATGGTGCTGGTTGTGATTACCGGCGAAACGTCACGGTACTCGAATTGTAAATGTTGTAGTGGGTTTACTCTACAATACACCGGTGTGCTGTACGAGTAACGAATTGGCATGTTTTGTTTACGTGACAAACCTTACTAATTGGCTGTGCCGGGTGGTGGCGGGTTTAATGACACAACATTTATACATTTACGTGATCTAACAACAAAATACCTCGATTATGGATCAGGTTAGAAATTGATAACGAAACAGTCCGGACAATTTAACACGAAGGTTTTCTCAGCCAATGTTACGATTCATAATTGGCCGCGTAGTGATCTGACCAACTTAGCGTCCATTATGAATCCTCCACCACTCTACGCAAGCCGATTGTTACTGCTGCGGTTCAGCGACAGGCGAGTCAGGGATCAACCTTCAGATCCTCACAACTTTGGTGATGAGCGTCACAACGTTTCGTTTTAAGCTACGTCGAATCTACTGAGGCTACGCTCCAGGAAGTCAGAAGAACAATCCAGGAGGTCTGAATGCACGGAACAAATGAGTGAACTTCATCTGAAAGCTCAAATCTGGCTTGAGATCAACCGGGCTCGTTGTTGTTGTTTGTTTCCGAGTCCACTTCACCTGTCGCCTGCTGTTCTCACCTGCGCACCGACACGGCCTTGGAGGCGGCGTTGGAGCAGACGATGGGGGTGAGGCGCGGAGCGTGCGTGTTCTGTGCGCGCACACACAGACACAACAACCGCCATTCGCTACTAAGTGGCGGTGACGTCACCACGACGCTTGTGCCAGGCCATGTGCACCTTGAGGCCACGTGAAGTGTCGAACGCCAGCTGGCAGGAGGTCACGGGGCAGACCCAGGTGCCACGGGTCGACTGACTGAGATGACTGGCTGATGCACCACCTGTGCCCCCTACTGTGCCAACCTGCTGTGCTTTAGCCACCCGGCGCTCCGCTCGTTGTTGTGAGCGTCGCTCCTCCGCCCTCTGTTGTTGTTGGAGGGCGACTGCCTCCGACTGCCCATTAGCGTCTTTCACGAGCGCCTTCACAGAGGCCGATCTTGACACCGCTGGTACCAGTCATCGACAAGTCCACTCAGCTCCACGTCCTCCTGTACCACATCACTCCATCTCTTCTCTAGCCCGTGCCGCGCCCGTTTAGCCCCCTCGATCTGGCCGAACAAAAGCTGTTTGGGCATGCGGTGATTGGGCATGCGGGCTACATGGCCCAGCCAACGCAGTCTTGCTTGCCGGAGGTGCTCACCGATGGGACTTTGTCCAGACACACAGAGACACACACAGACACACACACAGACACACACACAGACACACAGAGACACATACACAGAGACACACACAGACACACACAGACACTGTGGTCGGTGCTATGACAACAAGGATTTCTGCCCGCAGCCACGGGAGTGAGATATCAACTACCTCGCCTGGTATACAGGAGGTCGTGAGTTCGATCCCGACCCTTACGCTTGTATAGTTGGAGTTTGCGTGTTCTATCTCCGTGGTCACGTGGATTTTTTTTTAGAATCAACGTCACGCGAGTATTTAGCAGCTATAAATTTCCACGCGATAAGCCACCTCGTTGCGCTATCATTTGTGGCCAGGTCGCTTCTGAAAAAAAAGCTACATTGCTCAGTGGGGCTTTACCTGGTAAAATAAAAAAAACTGTTTCAATAGCTACCGCCATCGCAACCGCCGCCTGATGCTCGCACGCTCGCTCGCTCTCGAATAGAGAGGACGACTCTCGAATAGAGAGGACGACTCGGAGGTGGCGTGAGAAGCCACACGCGCGAGCGGGAAGGCGGCAGCAGCAGCTACGCGGCGGCGAGGAGCCCTGCGCCACCAACGATTGCCCAAGCTCTGCGATCCTCTATATATCAAGGCGTTATCGGACAATGAATGAGTCTTTGGATCAGTGTTCTTCATTGCAAGGCCCCCATGGGCCACTGGCGGCTCCTGACGTGCGCCCCCCCCCCCCCCAGAAAATGCACAAATGGTGAAAGCATCCCATGGTGCTGTCAAACCCCGGTGGTTTCAAATGTGCGGCGGCCCTCTTCACACACCGTCTTATCGGCGACCCCTCAAAATGAGTGAAGAACAACCGTGGTTTAGATGATGGAGAATCCCGCGGGTGTGAGGGGGTAACGCTATCCACCGCCTCGTGGCCACCTCGCTAACAGAATTTTACGCCAACAGTTTGTTGAGGCTACATGGGGGATATTTGTCTTTGTTGTAATATATATGTGTGTGTGTGTGAACCGGTCCAGGGCCTCCCCTAAGTCGACTTTGCCTCAAATAAGTAGCTGGCACGGTCTGTAGACTCGGGAGACAAGGGCGGCCGGGCACGGTGCCGGCCACCCCACCACCTCGTGTGCCGTGCCGGCCTTCATACAGTGAGGGAAAAAAAGTATTTGATCCCCTGCTGGTTTTGTACGTTTGCCCACTAACAAAGAAATTATCAGTCTAGAATTTTAATGGTCGGTTTATTTGAACAGTGAGAGACAGAATAACAACAAAAAAATCCGGAAAAACGCATGTCAAAAATGTCATAAATTGATTTGCATTTTAATGATGGAAATAATTATTTGACCCCCTCTCAATCAGAAAGATTTCTGGCTCCCAGGTGTCTTTTATACAGGCAACGAGCTGAGATTAGGAGCACACTCTTAAAGGGAGTGCTCCTAATCTCAGCTTGTTACCTGTATAAAAGACACCTGTCCACAGAAACAATCAATCGATCAGATTCCAAACTCTCCACCATGGCCAAGACCGAAGAGCTCTCCAAGGATGTCAGGGACAAGATTGTAGACCTACACAAGGCTGGAATGGGCTACAAGACCATTACCAAGCAGCTTGGTGAGAAGGTGACAACAGTTGGTGCAATTATTCACAAATGGAAGAAACACAAAAGAACTGTCAATCTCCCTCAGCCTAGGGCTCCATGCAAGATCTCACCTCGTGGAGTTGCAATGATCATGAGAACGGTGAGGAATCAGCCCAGAACTACACGGGAGGATTGTCTCAATGATCTCAAGGCAGCTGGGACCATAGTCACCAAGAAAACAATTGGTAACACACTACGCCGTGAAGGACTGAAATCCTGCAGCGCCCGCAAGGTCTCCCTGCTCAAGAAAGCACATATACATGCCCGTCTGAAGTTTGCCAATGAACATTTGAATGATTCAGAGGACAACTGGGTGAAAGCGTTGTGGTCAGATGAGACCAAAATTGAGCTCTTTGGCATCAACTCAACTCGCCCTGTTTTGAAGGAGGAGGAATGCTGCCTATGACCTCAAGAACACCATCCCCACCGTCAAACATGGAGGTGGAAACATTATGGTTTGGGGGTATTTTTCTGCTAAGGGGACAGGACAACTTCACCGCACCAAAGGGATGATGGACGGGGCCACGTACCGTCAAATCTTGGGTGAGAACCTCCTTCCCTCAGCAAGGGCATTGAAAATGGGTCGTGGATGGGTATTCCAGCATGACAATGAGCCAAAACACACGGCCAAAGCAACAAAGGAGAGGCTCAAGAAGAAGCAAATTAAGGTCCTGGAGTGGCCTAGCCAGTCTCCAGACCTTAATCCCATAGAAAATCTGTGGAGGGAGCTGAAGGTTCGAGTTGCCAAACGTCAGCTTCGAAACCTTAATGAATTGGAGAAGATCTGCAAAGAGGAGTGGGACAAAATTCCTCCTGAGATGTGTGCAAACCTGGTGGCCAACTACAAGAAACGTCTGACCTCTGTGATTGCCAACAAGGGTTTTGCCACCAAGTACTAAGTCATGTTTTGCAGAGGGGTCAAATACTTATTTCCCTCATAAAAATGCAAATCAATTCATAACATTTTTGAAATGCGTTTTTCTGGATTTTGTTGTTGTTGTTGTTATTCTGTCTCTCACTGTTCAAATAAACCTACCATTAAAATTCTAGACTGATAATTTCTTTGTCAGTGGGCAAACGTACAAAATCAGCAGGGGATCAAATACTTTTTTCCCTCACTGTAGGTGTCGCTCGCTCACGGCGCTTGCTGCTACGGCCTTTTGAAGGCTCTCTCCGGGGGCATCTTTGCCTTTTGTACCTTGAGGATGAGCCGGATCGCCACGAGCCCGGACGTGGCCATGACCTTGGCGCTGTTCGGCACGAGCGCAAACAGTCCGGTCAGCACCGCCTCCGCCGTGAACTCGAATTTGTTCCGCAGCAACGCCGACAAGTACCTGCGTCGCCCGCACACGTGCACAAAACAAAGGTCCCCCGCATAGCCTTCAAGGGACCGTTGGGGCAAGTGCTGTTAGAGAGCACCTATAAAGGCCGGCATGGCGTGCGAGGGGGGTGGGTGGCCAGCACCACGCCCGGCCGCCTTTGTCTCTCCAGTCACACGGCCTAAGACACATGCAAAAGACAAAGGTCCCCCGTGTAGCCTCAATAGACTGGTGGGACAAGTGCTGTTAGTGAGCACTTATGAAGGCCGGCACGGCACACGAGGGGGTGGGTGGCCAACACCACGCCCAGCCGCCTTTGTCTCCCCAGTGGCGATGTTTACACATCCCACCAGGTACTCAGTTGAGGCTGAGTCGACCTAGGGGAGGCCCAGGACCAGTTCAGATCATTTTCACCGGTGTTGGCCGTGAGTGGGAATTGAATTCGGGTCCCCGGGTTCGTAGCGGAGTGCGCTAACCACTGAACTACCGCTACCTACTACACATGCATGCACGTATACACATTCATGCATGTGTAGTCACTACACATAATCACAATGGCAGTGACCGACGTGCCCACGTTAGCGTTGGTGATTGCAATATTGATGATGATGATGGTGTGGAGGGTGATAATTGTAACTGGTGATGGTGATGTCGATTTTGCTGTGGATGATGATGCTGATGATGCCAATGATGATGACAGTGATGATGATGATGACGACGACGATGAGGATGACGGCAACAAAGATAACGAAGCCGGCGCGACTCGCGCATCTCGCACAACGACAGTGCCGACGATGCTGACAACAACAACAACGTCGATGATGAGAGCGACGATGACGCCAATGACGACGATGGCGGTGAGGACAACCAAGGTAATATTGACGACGGCGATGCACGTGCGCACGCTGCCGTGCCGTACGTAGCCAACCGTGCTAATCGGAGCCTTATTATTATTATTCTTGTGATAATAAGGCCGATGATGTCATCGACGAGGACGACGAGGACGACTCACGCGAGCGTGATGCAGGTCTCGCGCACGACCTGCGAGCGGAGGTCGCGCACGCTCAGCTTGAGCGCCGGGTCCATGAGCCGCAGCTGCTGCAGGAAGCCCTCGTGCTTGGTGGCTCCGGCCACGAGCAGCGAGCGGACCTCCCTCACCTGCAGGGGCCCGGCGCAGGTGAGGAAAGATCAAAGACGAAGGTCTCCCCCCGTGTAGCCTTCAATGGGATGCTGTTGGGACCAGAGCGCTGTTAGCGGGGCGCCTTTTAAAAGCGATGGCGTGGCGTGCACGGAGGTTGTGTGGCCTGGAACCGCACCTGCCCGCCGTTCTATCCCCGGTGGCGATGTGTGCACACCGCACCAGGTATTCAGTTAAGGCTGAGCGGACCTAGGGAAGGCTCAGGATCAGTCGTCATGTGCGCCCTGATGCAATGGATTAAATGAGACCCACCCCGGTCAAATTCTGCCTCCACCTCCGAGCCCACCCACCGGCCTTCACAGCCCGGTGCCTGTGCCCCTGCGGCCCATGGGGGAGCCAGGTGCATTAGCGCCGCCTTGCGCACTCCGTAGCTACACCGCTAGTCCCGTGGAACTGCTGTGACGGTGCCGCGTGTGGCTCGGTCACTCACGGCCGCCACGCGCTGCTCCCAGTCGTGCTTGTCGTCCGACAGGATGTCTCGGATCTTGCTCATGGCGTCCTCGAGGTCGCGGTTGGAATAGATCTGCGGGGAGACGCAAGGCTCGAGTTCGTTTTGTTTAAACGCTGCTATACATCACCACTCGAGCTTCAGGTCCTGCAGAAGCTCCCGGAACGCGGAGCGAAACGTCGGACACCGTGCCAAACAGCGCGCCCGTACGACCGCGGAAAGTCGTGTTCGTCCGACTTTCCCCCGACGACGGTGTGGATTCCCAGATTGAGAATCTGAAATATGCAGCAGAGACCAACAGACTGTGGGACCCAGAGGCGCTCTATGAAATTACAGACACGCACGCACGCTCGATATCGACAGCACACCATTGATTTGGGCGTGTGACCTGGGGCATTAGTCGGCCAGTAAGGGGGGGGGAGATGTATAATCGAGTAATTTGCGGCTAATATTCATATTCGGCAAAATGTGGACAGCGGTGCTTTGCGTCGTCTCGTGGAGCATGGGGACACGGGAACGATTTGAGCGGCTACGTGGCGCAGAGACGCGGAAGGGTAGCGATGAGGATGATGAGAGGGATGTCGGGAAAATCTCTAAGGGAGAGGAGGACGAGGAGGAGGTCGGATTGTTGAGAAAGAGGACCAAAGCGTTTAATTCCAAGAGCTGGAATGCATCCATAATTGAGAAATAAATCAATCATGTCCATTATGATGAGTTGTTCGTACAGTCCTCGGTGACCGGGCCGAGACCATCGACAGGTTTAACCACGGGCAGCAGTAGCTAGCAACCGCATTCGAACCCAGGGTCTCGGCCGTGCGCTCTGACCATCTGAGCCACCACCACTGTGCAATGCATTTCTGTGCACGGAGAATCTTCTAACAAGGGGGGAGGCTCCCTCGATGGACTGGCTTGCCAGCTTGTGATGAGGTCGCCGCGGTGGCTAGGAGATGTTAACTCCCTCGCCTGGTATGGAGGAGGTCGTGGGCTCGATCCCGACCCTGATGCCTTCTGTATATTTAGAGATTGCACGTCTCTCCCCGTGGTCGCGTGGATTTTTCTCCGGTTCCTCCGGGTTTTCTCTCCGCATTTAGAATCAACGTGCGCTCAGAGTATTTGTTCTCCACGCGATAAGCCACTTCGTTGAGAGCTATCATTCGTGGCCAGGTCGCTTCTGAAAAGAAAGCTACATAGCTCAGGGGTACTTTCCCTGTTAAAATAAAAAAAAATTGTTAATAGTTTAGTTTGTTCTCAGACGTCTGGCGCACTCTCACCTGCACGGATGGGACGTCCTCAAACGCCTTGGTGAAGTCTTCCTCATCCACCGCTCCGGCACCCTCCCGCCCTGGGCCGGAGACACGGGGACGCCATGGAGAGACACGGAGACACGGGCGGGTGTTAGATGGAGACACGGGGATATGAGGAGACAAGGAGATACGGGGACACCATGGAGAGACACGGACGTTTGTGAGATGGAGACACGGGGATATGAGGAGACAAGGAGACAAGGAGACACCATGGAGATGGATGCAGGTGAGACACAAATAGAGACACGAACCAGGCAACCCAAGTTCGATTCCCGCTCATGGCCACCAACACCAGTGACAAATATCCGAACCGGTCCTGGGCCTCCCTTAGGTCGACTCAGCCTCAAATGAGTACGTGGCGTGATGTGTAAACATCGCCACTGGGGAGACGAAGGCGGTTGGGCTAACAGCACTTTCCCCAACAGTCTGTTAAGGCTATACGGGAGATCTTTGCCTCTGTATACTTGCGTGCCTGTGTAGCTACACCTGTGTGCATGCGTACGTCTCATCCGGGCAACGCCGGGCCCCCGTGCGCCGTACCTGTGGCCGCCTTTGCCGACCAGGGCCCCTGCCTGCGGCCTGTCCCTCCCTCCCCAGGGCCCCGGCGGCTGGCCTTGCCTCCCGGCGCTCCCTTTCCCTCCACCGGCTCATCCTCCTCGTGTGCCTTGTCTGGCCGGGGGAGAGAGAGGCCACGGGCGCGCAAAGGTCAGGATCAATAGGTCACCACAGCCCATGCCGCCACGCGCCTCGCCCATCGCGTCCTTTCCTGTCTGATAGATCTCGCAGCTGATTCCGCCGTCTGGCTTTAGGTCTTCTCCTCGGTCGACGACCTCTGAGTACCACTCCATGTCAGCAATTTACCTCCCCCCATTCCAATTCGCTCTTTACACGGTTGCAGAACACAGTGGCCCAAAGGCCAAAGAACGCCAAGCGGCCAGCAACGAACAGCACTCCGATTATCACGGTTGGCTACGTACGGTGCGAAAGCAGTTCAAAGTTCGCACGTACAAAACATGAAAGTTGTGATAGATGGCAACCCTGCACACACGTGGCCACGTATAACGCCGTCCACGGCGCTGTCCTTGGTGCTAGTAAATGTATAGGGGAGCACAGCACTGGACTAGTTGGGTGGGTGACAGGATACGGGAGGGAGGGGGTACTTGGAGCCATGAGCTTTGTTTAGCACGGCCAGTTGTAGTGAGCAGTGCACAACCTCGTGGCAGACCACAGCTCCCTGAGGAGGATGCGACAACGTCGGGATTGTGTCACCACGTGGTCACAGGCGGCAGGGACTCTTCCGCTGGCGTTTGGCCCACGCCATGAGCACCGCTCACCCACCACAGCAACCCCCACCCCCCATCTCACCCCCACACCACACCATACCCCCCCCGCCCACGCTAATGCCTCCCCAGGCCGCGTGCTGCTCACAGGCCCTGCTGACATCATCAATCCACAGCGCCATGCAGTAGACTCACTGTATATGTGTGTGTGTGTGCATAGTGCTGTTCTATGGAGAGAATGTGAATTTTTTTGTTACATAGTCAAACTAGCCTGGGGATGGTTCTCATTTGTTTATTACAGGCCTCAGTGGAAATTCCACATTCCTCTGGCAACTGCTTGTTCACGCCACTGCTGGTGGAAGGCCCTCCTAGAGAGGCCCTCTGGAGGGTATTTTGGCCTACTCTTCCATTACAGGCAGTGGTGTTGGATATAATATGCGAGTACCCACGTTTTACCCCACCACATCCTACCTTCCCGTTTGACTAACCAGGATGTACTTTATTTATTATGCTGCCAGATGGACAGAGGTGGCAGAGGGGATTCATGAAACTTGCAGTCATCCAAACTGCCGCGCCGGGAAATCCAGTGAAACTGGCGATTTCTCTATTGCAAGTCAGGGCGCTAACCATTACATCCGTCGATTACTCTGCCATTAAAAACCACCCCTAGTTTCAGCAGCCGACCTCCTCCATTGGGGCCCACAAACCCATTAAAGATGGCTAAGTGGCAACGGAAGGCTCATAATGGCCATGTCGAGACACCGAGGTTGGGTTCAACAACTTCGGCTGAACATTCTGGGTTCAAATCCCACCGAGGTCGCCACCACAATGTTACACAAGGTGACACGGTTGAATGTCTTAGGTCCACCACAATAATTACCGCACGCAAAAAATATCCCTATCGTATGAAATGTCGTTTTCCTAGGCAATGCTCACTGAGTCTCAATGACTGTTTTTTTTCCAGGAGAGTCCTGCTGCATTGGGATGTGTTGCCCATGAATGTAACGAATGAGAGTTTGGCTCCGTTTTGAGAGGAGACTGGAGGACCCGGAGAGAATCCCCCAAGCGTACGAGGGGGCGACACTCAGCACTGCCGTATTCCAGCCTCCTCGCAGCCTAAGCCGATACAACACCTGACCCTGTTGGTCACCCAGCCTCGTACTAACCCGGCTCAGGCCTGCTTAGCTTCCCAGATTTCACAGGATCAAATGTGTCCAATCGTGATTTGGTATGTCGGTGAACTTGGCTCAAGTTAATTTGGCCCAGCCTTACTATTGGTAGCCTTAATAGCCTGCGGAAGCAATATACTGATAACCCAAGAAACATATTAAGTATGTACTGTACATAAAAAAACATGTTGTGGTCATGGGACACGGTGGTTCACGAACCGTGCTGTAAACCTCCCGGCCATGACCAATGTCAGTGGCGAGTGGTATGTAAACCGGTTCTGGTCACCCCCTTCACGAGCCCGCACTGACCAGCGTGGTGAAGTATGGTCAAACAATCCCCCGGACAGGCCCGGCATGGGTAGTTATTCATCCAGCAGTTGATTGACGACGGGCTGAAAAAATACTCAATAATTTTCAACTATAAGAATAAAGTGGCGGGCAGACAACATTATCGCCCCGTCTGCTCTCGGCTCACTATGCTCTTTGCGAGCCAGTTATAGATAAAATTACTTGTTAAATAAAAACTATTCCTTTCACGTTTCGTTAACCACAGTGTTGAGTTAATTTAACTATGTACGGCGAGTTGACGCATGGCCACGATTTGGGCAACTGCATCCATTTTCCACGTGGGTTTGCCATTGTATTTAAATGCAAAATGTATAATTAATTTTGGGTTCCCCCCCACCCTGCCCCCACCCCCTGTAATTCCTCACACCAGATGTGGTCCATTGCCACTGCTCCCCCGCTACCGCCGTCACGTCTATGCCACACCTGCCGTGGAATTAATGGGGGGGGGGGGGGAGAGAACCCCTTAGCCCGCACTGAAAATCACCACCTAAGTTTGGCCCACGCCGTTGCGACCGATTGCAAATCGCCGTTCTCTCCGCGTCGTCAAGAAACAACATTCAATGTAAAGAATTTACATATATATTTACAATCGCTACAAGCACGAAACGGATGTGTACATGCGTGTGTCGCCGTGCAACTCACAGGAGCAGATCTTCTTGCAAATGAGCCTCTTCATAATGACGAGGGTTTAACCGCGCTGAAAACCCAAGCGTCCCGCCCACGTTAAGCTCAGCAGCTGTGCCTCCGTGCGTGTTGTCTCCCGTGTGTGTGTGTCTGTCTCTCTCTATGGGCGTGTGTCCTTAATATCAAATGTGCCGGCTAGCCCGAGGGGGTCTTGGACCAGTTTCCGGGAGTGGCGATCTTCCTTGCGTCCAGAGCGGAGGGCAGGATGGGAGGCGCAGCACAGCGCGAGCTTCGCCCAAATGTCCCCTTAATCTATAATTTCTGCCTAGGCTGTTTCCATCTTCCTCGCACGCCCGTCCGCCTGCATGTGCGTCTTGTCTGTCGGGCTGTCTGTCTGTTACACCGTTCCTCTGCTCCCGGCTTCCCACTCCTCCATCTTCTCTATCCCTCCTGGCACGATGATGTCACCGCAAGGTCCAAGCGAGCGAGCGAGCGTGCGCGCGTGCGTAGGTGCGTGCGTGTGCGTGCGAGCGAGCGTGCGTAAAGGCGCACGCTGTGAGCATAACAACCACCTTGGAAAGGCGAACGCCGCCGGCTAGACCCGCTCCCGCCCCGCCCCTAAACCACCCCCCCCCCGCTTACTACCCACAACCCCCCACTCTCCTCTCCTCCTCCCTCCTCTCCGTCTGCCCCAGACTCCTCCTCTCCAGCAAAATAAGTAATATTTTTTTAAACGTTTTTAAAAACACGCTTTTATGAAATGTGTTGTGTACTAGTAATGGCATAACTCCACGACTCCAGGAAGTGGCCCCGAAGCTTGCCATAACGTAAGGGACCGTGGCCAATTACAGCCAACGTCAATTTACCGTGGACAATTTGACCCAAGCCGTAACATAACATATATAAAAAATAATCTAAAATAAATGTTTTATGATAGAATATAGTATTGTCATCAGTATGACATAAATATACCAAGTTTGCAGTCGATACCACATTGGGAAGTGGGTTAAAATTGAGTTACAAGATTTGAGGATACAACGACAACGACAACAGAGTGAGTTAATAAAAAGCGTGTAAAATAAAAAAAACGATTTAAAATTCTCATATTGGACTGCTCTATTCAATCACGGGGGTGAGACTCAATTCCCCGCCTCTGCGTCCCACCCACCCCGCGTGCCTTGCTCTCTACCCCCCCACTGCCCTCGCAGTCAAGATTAGTCTTGGTTCGTCCCCACGTTGAAATATTCATGAGTCACATCCATCCGATTTCTCAGTGGTACAGTCTGATGGGGTGATAAAGAGGCCCCGTGCCAGCCGGTCTCACAGCGGGCCTTTGCAGCGACCCAGCCCGGAGCGTTCCAGCTCGCAGCAGTGCGCGGTCCCGCCACACAGTAACCAACGGCACACCGGCCCAATCCAACTGCACAAGGGGCCCATTGCATAGCAAACCCATGCCACACCAGTCTCATCCCATGACATCGTGGCCCACACCCGTTGTGGTCCACACACACGGTACACCAACACACCATCATACGGCACACCAGCCCATGAAACATCAGCTCGTGACAAGCCATGCCGTGACAGACCAGCCCATGACACACCAGCCCATAACACACCATCACACGCAACACCATACCCGTGGCTACTGCAGACCAACCCACGCGCGATTGGCTCAGCTGAGCTGCTTCACATGTGAAGACACGCACACGCCACAAAACCCATGGTGCTGGTACCCCAATTTGCTTATTTGCAAACAGCAATTGATACGTTAAAGTGACTACAATTCACATGCGTACAGACGTTTATTGGGAGTCACAGCCTGATCCACCAACTCCGGCCCGCACGTCGCCGGATTTGCAGTGGTACGCTTCATCACTCCCTCCCCCATCCTCCCCCAGATCCAGGGCAGCAGCACGGGGCAGCCAGTAACAGTAATTGGTGCGCCCGTGTTTCCAGGGTGACGGTGAGACCAGGCATATGTGAATGCCCTTGGGGAGGATGGGAAGAGGGGGGGGGGAGTGGTTGTGCAGGTGAGACCTGGAAAATTTATCCAGTGGAGCGCCCTCCGTGCCTCGCGCGTGGAGTCACGTGGACACCCATACAGTGGCGTTTATAGGGGACCCGCAAACCCGCGTGGCTTCATATAGCGGCGTCCGAATGCATCCGTGTCTCAAGACGCCGTTCGGAAAACAGTGAACGTAGCGAAACTAATGATAATGATTTATTTACCCAGGAAAGCCAGCCTGAATCTGAAGCCTACTTGTCTGGAAGGTCCTGCATTGGGACGTTTGATCGACGCCAGTTACGTTGTGTACGTATCGTTTGGCTACGGGAGGAAACCGCGAGAACCCGGAGGGGACCCCCTGTAGAACGGCGGAAGAACAAAACAATATCCACACAGAAAGACGCCCCAGAGTCGGGAACCGAACCCAATCCCTTCTTGCTGTGAGGCACACGTGTTGCCACCCTGCCGCCCAACATAATTGTCTCTAAGAGACAGGGAGGCAGCCAGACATCGGCAGAGAAAATTAATAAGCTCTTGGGTAATGCCTTGAACAGGGCCTGGGAGTCCACAGCACGGATGTTTGTTGGGGGGGGGGGGGGGTTCAGACAGTGGGGACAACAGAGGAGAATGAGCGACCTCCCACCTACTAGAGCATGAATGGAGAGCTCGACTTACAATCTAAAGGTTGTAAATGTAATCATCACCACGATCATAACCACTACCATCATCGTCCCTCCACGGCATCGCTGAAATACGCAACCACTTTGTGAAAAGTCAGCAGTAGTTGTCGAATGGCTATACCTGCCCCCGTCATGGGATTGTGCAATTTCCGCCACTGGCTTAAGGTCGCCAACGAAGACGCGAGAGGCTGTGAATACACGTAATCATAACGGCGAATCGTCATGGAAAGAGGCCTTTGATTTGTTAAACCGGTCCGCGTGAGTCTTAAGTAGCTGTCCAAGGTGCTGAAGTCTCCACTGATCAGTGGCCCGGATGGAGACTTGGCAGCAGTGAGAATTGGTAACCATACTGCACCGACGAGTCCGAATAACGGCAAAACTGGGCTACCATTGTCTCTCTCTTCTCGGCCAATTAATGAGCGTTTACATGTGGGAGAAAAATCCGATGCAGCGATCGCATTCACAATACATGCATCGAAAGTGTGCGTCTCAGAAAATGGATGAATGACGATATACAAAATTATATGCGTGCCACATTGCATACAAGCACACGTGTGCACATCGTACGCAGATTATATGCAAACGTTACATTTAGGATAACGGAGCAAACAAAACTGTACAAACGAGGAAGATAGAAAAATCTGGACAAATTACGAAACGGTAAAAAAACACATACTTAGATCAGAGTTGAATCAATTCGCGGCCCAGAATCGTCACGATTTGTCGAATCCTCAGGAGAGTAAATCCATGATTAGAGTTTCACTTCCTCAACACAACGGGGGAGCTCGTTATAAACAGACGCGCCGTGGTTGTTCAGAACGCACGAGGTAAAGGCTCAGCCTTGCAATGCCCTACTCACACCACCTCTGTCAGACGTGTCTCTGCGAGGGGCGTTTCACTCGAGGTTACTTTGGGCCCATTTTTCCTGCTGGCTACAGATCTTGGAAGTGGTGGTGGTAGCTGGGGGGGGGGGGGGGTACCCACATTTTACCCCACACTTCACCCCACACTTTACCCCACACTATACCCCACGACGCGCGACCTAACTGTGATGTACTCACGTATACTGCTGGGTAGAGAGAGGGCAGGCGAGGTGGGTGGGGCGGTATAATAAACGTGCCCCATTGTTTAAATTGCCGTGCCGGGAGATCGATTAGAACGGGTGACCTCTGGCGTGCGAACCATTACACACCTGGAAGCTCCCTGACATCACCCCGCGCGGCTCAACGTTGTGACCGTTTTATTTTCGGCAGAAGTTGGACAATCGGATCACTTCGTACCGGTTTCATCTGGCTAAAATTCAGGGTCAAGTTTGTGTGGTTTAACCAGGTGAGAATCCAAGAGACCAAGATGAGTCTCATTAGCAAAAGTGACCTGGGGTCACCGCTATCGCCGCAGTTTCCCGAAGTTGATGGTGGATGTGGATTAACAGATCGTGAATCTGAAATATCCTTCGCGGGGATTAGCAGAGACCAACAGACTGAGGGTGTTAGCCCCAGAGGTGCTTTATGTAATTATCGACGCACGCCCACGCTCAATATCGCTGGAGTCATTGATCTGTGCGCGTTGTCATCGCGTAACATGGGACAGCAGGAACCCATTAAACACTGTATCATAGACCTAATGTTCATTCCTTTGTCAATCGGGCCACGGGGTTTGTGTTTGATCTTACTTCACCGCACTGGTCAGGGGTGGTGGAGAAGGAGAGTGGGAAGTGGTAGCAGATGTCACGTGCCACGAATGCCAGCCGTAACCAGGAATCGAACTCAAGTGTACGGGTTCAGAAACCCGAAGTAGTTTGAGCTGGAGCTGTGGCGCAGTGGTTAGCGCACTGCACTGTAAACCCAGTGATTTTGATTTTGGGCTGAAAACAAGCAGAGGCAGACTTCACTACTGTGCACATTTTTTATTTAAAGCTTTCGTGACTTCAGGGATTCATATTCTTGGTTCTTTCGGTAAAGTCACGTAGAAGGGAAACAATAAAATAATAAAAATATAAACAATACAATTCTCACGACGTTTCGACTGAAACACAAGCAATCATAATCAGGTGTGAAAACCACAACAAGAAAATTTTGTTGTGGTTTTCACTCCTGATGATGATTGCTTGTGTTGCAGTCGAAACGTCGTGAGAATTGTATTGTTTTATATTTTTATTATTTTATTGTTTCCGTTCTACGTGACTTTACCGAAAGAACCAAGAATACCGTGCACATATAAATACAAGACATCGATTTTCCAGACCATACTTCACCACGCTGGGTAGTGCGGGTTTGTGCATGGAGGGGGGGGGGGGAGCACCCAGCACCGATTTAACTATCACTTGCCACTGATGTTAGCCGTGGCGCGGAATCGAGGTCAGGTCGCCGGGTCCATAGCGCAGTGTAACTAAGCCAATGTGCAGCCAACACAATTGTAGCCCTGTCAACCTGAGTCCCCCCTTCAGGGGAGTTTCTATCCCTGGGCAACCGAAACACCCCAAATGCGCCCGACCTCGTCTCATCCCGGAAGCTAAAACGAGTTCCCAGTAATTATGGCACGTCGGACCAATGTTTGGGTCAACGTTGATCCAACGATTCCGACTACATACTAACGTTGGCCCAACGTTTCATGTGTACTGCGCCTGGGCCTGGCTAGTCCTTTGACGGGAGACCGTCTGGAAATACCGCGTGTTTTCGACTCGGGCTGCAAGGTGGCCTGCAGATGGCTGCACAGCAATAGATTATTGCATCTATCCGTGCAAAAAAAGCTTGCAGGGTTGTTTTCTTGTTCAATATCTTCTTTTCCCGGGTACTCCGGTTTCCTCTCGAGCGAAACCAAAACCTTGAATTCATGGAATTGGCCACAGATCCCAATTGGGAGTCGGTGAGGCTTTTCTGGGTAACGATGGCATTGTTGATATCACGACTGAATAGGGCATGCAGAGTGAGCCTGTGACAATGCACGTATAATATAGGTTCCGTATGCAGGATACACTCGTGTGTGTGTGTATATATACTGTGTGTATATGCATAGATTTGAGTACGGTGCTACTATAAAGGAGCATAATGCGGGTGACATCAGTGGCGAGTGATATACATGACACTGTCCATCCGTCGTCCGCTCCCTACCACCACGCCTATCCTTAACCAACCCCCAATGACCAGCGTAGTAAAGTATGGTCAAACAACTCCCGCCTCGCACCCCTAACCCCATTACTGACGGCGTTGGGAGGCCTCCATCAAACTGTGGATAGATAAAAGGCTGACACTATTGTTATAAATATTTATATTCCATGAAACGCACGTTGCAACTAATGGACAAAAAAGACAAAGATCCCCCGTATAGCCTGTAACAGACTGTTGGGGCAAGTGCTGTTAGCGAGCACCTATGAAGGCCAGCACAGCACACGAGGGGGTGGGTGGCCAACACCACACCCGGCCGCCTTAGTCTCCCGAGTAGCGATGTTTACACACCGCACCAGGTACTAATTTGAGGCTGAGTCGACCTAGGGGGAGGCCCAGGACCGGTTCAGGATAATCGTCACCGGTGTTGTCCGTGAGCGGGAATCGAACTCGGGTCGCCTGGTTCGTGGCGCAGCGCGCCAGCTGCTACACTACCACTCCCCACTAACGCACAGCACACACACGCTGCATATACAGATTACGCGAACGTAAATACAAATACGCACGCGTAAAAACAAAGGTCCACCGTCACAGGACTTGGAGCAAGTCCTGTTAGCGAGCACCTATTAAGGCGGGCACGGCACACGAGGGGCTTGGCGGTGTCCAGCTAAGTCGACCCAGGATGCAGGCTGAGTCGACCTACGAGCCGTTCAGATATTCGACGCTGTGAGCTGAAATCGACCCTCGGGTCGCCGGATTGAGAGCGCAGGGTGCTAACCACTACGCTGCCGCTCCCCCGCCACACTCACGCACACAAACAAACTACAAACACGCGTGCGCACAGAACATACCCACACAAGCGTCGTGTCAAATCTGGCGCGATCCGTAATCAGGAGGGAACTGGTATATTAAGCTTAAACGCTAATTGATTGGCTAATTGACACCGCTAAATGACACTGCCGACGCTGTGGATTAAGGAAGATGCCACTCTCCCGTGCCGTTACCCATCGCGCACCGTGCCGACCTGACCCCAGGATTCAACCCCAAAGTTCCATGGCCCTTTCCTTCACCCATCCCCCCCACCCCCCTATTGCTTACCAGGCAGTTCCTGAAGAAGGTCAAAGCACGTGGAGCGAAACGTCGGACACCATGGTGAAAATACGCGGTACAACCGGGTCGTGCACTTTCTACAGACACCAATTGAGGTTGGGACGGTGCAATGAGGTGGAGTGGTCAGCACACCGCCAGGCCGCCTTTGTCTCCCCGGTGCTGATGATTTGACACGGTCGCACCAGCTACTCATTTAAGGCTAAGTCGACCGAGAGGAGGCCCGCGAATGGGACAGATATCACTGAACCATCATGTTAGCCGCGGCCGATAATCGAACTCAGGTGGTATCGTTTGCAGTGGGCTAAACCACTCTGCCGCACACACACGCACGCACAGACACGCAGCATCACGCACGCATCCAGACCATACATACGGCATCATGCATTGTGGATGTATACAGCGTCTAGAAGCAACCGCATCTCAAGATGCTTGTACAGGAACAGTGGGTGTGTTTATTTTATAGAGGCGGTCGGTTCTAGGCAGAGGGACATGAACTAAGATTTGGAGTCTCCATCAACAGGGGGTAGGGGATGTCGACAGCACGGGCGGCTGGGTGACAGCTGACTGGCGTTGTAGAGTCAGATGAGAGTGGAAGAGGTAGGAGAGAGTGGATGGGAGGAGAGCGAGATGAGAGAGCGGGGCGGAGATGGGAGAGTGCACGGAGGGGAGTAGAGTGCGACACTCCATCCCACGCAGATGTAACAGATGGCATTAGTCCACAGTTGTTGTCTCGAATTTTATATTGCACCTCAACGCCCAACGGGAAATGGAGTTTCTAAACCGTATGTGTGTGTGGTCCCCCAACTCTCGCCTCCACGGTGCTGGATAACGCGTATAGGCACCAACCAAACAAGGGGGTGGGTGGTTAGCATCCACGCCCGGCCACATTTGTCTCCCCAGTGGAAATGTTTACACACAGCACCAGGTACTCATTTGAGGCTGAGTCGACCTAGGGGATGCCTAGGACTGTTTCAGATAATCGTCACTAGTGTGGGCCGTGAGCGGGAATCGAACTCGGGTAGTCGGGTTCGTACGCAGCGTAGCACTAACCGCTACACTCACACACAATTACACACATACACAGTATCATCACACAGCGTCACACACACACAATTACACACGTACATAGTATCATCACACAGCGTCACACACATACATCATGCATACAAAAGATAAAGATCCCCCTGTAGTATTACACAGACTGTTGGGGCAAGTGCCGGTTAGCCGACAGCTCTTTATGACATGCATGCACTCACATCATGAACCACACACACCAACACGCGCACACACATTTTGAATCGCATGCATGCACACATGCATGCAAAGACAACGATACACATACACGCAATACCGCACACATCCACAGCATCACACATGTACACGGAGTATCACACACACAGCATCGTACACGCACGCATGCACAGCATCACGCACGCACATCATCCCGCACATCTGACATCTGTCTCTGTGTCTCCGCTCTGTCTCACCTCCGCCTCCTACCATCATGGCAGGACTGGACGCGTATGCCGATGCTGATGCCAGTGATGGTGATGTTGATGGAGAGATGTTGATCTTTTTTTGGTGGGGGGGCAGGAGGAATAGGAGGTGATAGAGGTGGTCGGGCAGGATTGGATGGGGAAGAGGATGGAGATGATGGACCGGTGGTGGTGGTGGTTCAGCGTTCAACCACCGTTGCGGAGCTTCCACAGATGATCCTAGCTACTCCGCCGGCGAAACCATGTTGAGAGGGTTCGAGGAGGAGGGTTTGTGGGGGAGACGACGAGATGGAGCAGAGGAGGAGCCGCCCCTGTCTATCCCTGGGACTTGGACTGGACCACCATGGTGAGGGTGTCAAGGGACCTCCCACACACCGCCCCCCCCTCCTAACGCGTTATCATCTCTAATGCCACGCCACACTCAGATAAGTATATTGCCATTTCAGAGGTTTTTCCCATCTCGTGATGATTTGTTAATAGAATATACTGTCTCGAGATTATCGCCCGTGTGTGTAATGTTCAACATGCTGACTTGCAATGCAGAGGTCTCTGGTTCTATACGACCTCCCGGCGCGGCAGTAGAAACATGGGCACGAATCCTAACCCCCTCCCCCACCACCACCAATCACATCTGTCCACCCAGCAGTATAAAAGGGTATTCCAGGGAGAGTCCACCAGCAGGTCGCGTGCGCTGGGTTAAAGTGTGAGTTCTTCCACCTCTTCCAAAGACGTCTGGGCAGCGGTGTAAGTGTAAGCCAAATACCGCTCCTTCCTAGCGATTGCCACCCTAACGCCAGCAGTTGCGTGTGCCGGGCAGCCCGTGATTGAGGTGGTCGGGCAGTATGGCTACGCTGCTGCACTTGGCCTACCTGTAATTCAGCACCGTGGAGGGTTAGTGGATCACCGCACAGATGTTGCTGTGAAGCTCCCCCTCCCGTGGGCGTCCAGGTGGTTGCCGTACCCCTGGCTCACCAGGAGATGGCGGCACAGCGAGTGGATCAATCGCCATCTGTTTCCATCTGTACGGGCACTGAGCGTTTCCACCTCGCTCGCGCACGTGGTTTTTCTCTGGATGGCCCGGTTCCTTCCCACACTATATCACAATTGGTTGAAAACATCTTAAAATGAAGAAAAAAAACAATGTAGCTGCAGGGGGAACCCTCCTGCAAAAAGAGTCATACGGCTTGGTGTATATCTTCTGGATAAGTAAAAAAAACAATACATTACAGGGTTGCTCCTTTCCATATTTTTACCGTTAAACTATTTGGCATAGTTTAAACTGCTGATGAACGCGAGTATGGGTAAGGCAGGGCACGTCGCTGGAGGGGATAAGGGCCGATGATGAAGAGTAATCATGTCTTGCTTACGATGTTTTCCTTTATAATATACTGATGTTGAGTACAAAAAAACTGACACCTTTATTCAAGGCATCATGTCTGCAATAACCACAATACAAGCACCCGAGTGTGGATCAATCAAATTCAAGGACAGTGCATATTATTATCAGAGTTGTCTTTTTGTTTGCATTTTGACTGCTTGTGTTGTGGTTATTGCAAACATGATGCCTTGAATAAAGGTGTCCGTTTTTTTGTGCCAGTTAAAAGGGTAAAACCTATTACTATATCTTGTTACTGGCAAAGGAGGTCTCATAATGTTGAGTACAAATTTAAGTGTCTCCCTTTTCAATTGACCCATGGGGTGCTTGTTCGTGGACAACCTCGCTGGTGACCTCAAAGGCATTAGTGGAAATTCCATATTTTTATGACGGGAGCAAGTTTGTCAACGCTGGGAGGGAAGACCACTCAAGACGCTGGTCTACAGATACAGCCTGCAGGGAGTGGCATAGGCGCCGTCCATAAATGACGTCACGCACCTAGGGGGGGGGGGGGTCAGACATTTGTGACGATGTGTGACGATGGGGGGGGTTGAGAAATGTGACGTCACATCAAAATGCGCAACTTTAAATAAATATAGACAACACGTTCTACTTAATTAAATAAACGTTTTAATAAATGTTTTCTCCCACAACATCAGAGTGCAGCGTCACATTAAATACGCACTACAATGACAACAGTTTAAAGCGATTTGAAGCATGTTTTATTTGGGGGGGGGGGGCTGAGCTTTGTGACGTCATATTTGAGGGGGGGTCTGACTTTTTGTGACGCCGTGTGACGAAGGGGGGGGGGGGGTCAAAAATTGTCCAAAATCGCGTGACGTCATTTATGGACGGCCCCATACTTTCTCTGCAGCCTCCTGAAAAAAAATGTCAAAGTGGGTTTTTTGCCAAAGTCTTGAGCCGGTGGTGGCAATTCCACGTTATTGTGGCAAGAGTATGACATGCATTTTACAAAAAAATCCTGCATAATAAAGTTTTTTGGGTTAGATCGCGTAAATATATAAATGTGTCGTTAAAACCCGCCACCACCCAACCCAGCCAACTAGTAAGGGTTGTCACGTAAACAGAACGTGGCCAATTCGTCACTAGTACAGCACACCGGTGTGTTGGAGAGTACGATGTTTCGCCAGTAATTTTGGTGATTTCTTTATTTTGGTGATTTCGAAAACGTTTTTTTTTTGTTTGGCCATGCTTGTTTGTTGTAGTACGGAGTTAGACTGATGGCGTTAATCTAAGTTGTCTTGTGGATGTTGTTTGACTTGCACCCCACTGGGATTTTTGCACACAGCGTTGGTGTACGATGCTATTTCAGGAATATTTTGCTGTTGTTTCCTGGATTTTCTGTTTGCACATGCACAAAGTCACTTTAAGACGTTTTCTTGTTCATGTTTTTTGTTTGTTACGGTTGCACCCGATTCAAGAGCCAAATGGCTCACAGGGCTATACCAAATAAATGAAACTGAAACCAGCTTCATCAAGATTTCAAAATTAAATGCGGTGCATATAATTAAATAACAACTCAACGTACGTCACGAATCCTGACCAATGGCGAGGCGAACCGGCGTCCCAGTGACCCCGCCCCACCTCGCGCTGACTCTATAAAAGCGCGCGTCCCGCCACGGGGCTCGCCTAGCGGAGGCCTCGCGCCTCGTGTTACCTCATCCTCTCTGTGCCGGGCCAGGTCGGGCCGCGCTTTATTTTAGTTTGTAAATTATATTAAAAAAAAAGGAAATCAAAGTTTATTGTCGACGTCTGCCCGTCGCTCGCGTTCAGGTGCCTCTCTCGTCTCGTCGGCGGGAGCCCGTGGTGGCGAGGTGGGTTTGAAGGAGCGGCGTTCTCGATTAAAAAAAAAATAGCCGGTGCCGCTACAAAGCGCTTGGTGAACGTAACGTTAACCTATTTTTTTTCTCTCAATTCGATAACTTTACAAGGCCTACGAGATTGTAACACGAGGTTAACCAGGGTGTGTGTGTGTGTGTCACGCATTGCCACAGACCCCCGCGTCCGGTTACACAATCATCATTATGTTCAGACATGGTCTATCCACTGTTGGATTAAGGTCCTCCCCACCGCCATCTCTCGCGATCGCGCGATGTTCATCATCGCGGGCAGCCACCTCGCTCAACCCCTTATCAGTGACTACCTTATTCATACCTGTCAACCCCTTATCAGTGACTACCTTATTAATACCTGTCAACCCCTTAACAGTGACTACCTTATTCATACCTGTCAACCCCTTAACAGTGACTACCTTATTCATACCTGTCAACCACTTATCAGTGTCTACCTTATTCATACCTGTCAACCCCTTAACAGTGACTACCTTATTCATACCTGTCAACCCCTTATTAGTGACTACCTTATTCATACCTGTCAACCCCTTATCAGTGACTACCTTATTCATACCTGTCAACCCCTTATCAGTGACTACCTTATTCATACCTGTCAACCCTTTATCAGTGTCTACCTTATTCATACCTCTCAGCCCCTTAACAGTGACTACCTTATTCATACCTGTCAACCCGTTATCAGTGTCTACCTTATTCATACCTGTCAACCCCTTATCAGTGACTACCTTATTCATACCTGTCAACCCCTTATCAGTGTCTACCTTATTCATACTTCTCAGCCCTTTGCTAATCAGCGCCCTACCTTATTACAGATCAATTCACACCATATCGGTCACCCCGTGCGCGTTATAAACCTCAACGTTCATCATACAAAGCCCCATCCCAAGAGAGAAACACAGAGACAAACATGTTTGTTGTTGTTCCGTTTTGAAACAGCTGTACACCGCGTGGACCTGCAAACTCGATTTCCCTGCTCGAGAATACGGGGTTGAGCTCTGTGGGTTGACGGCTCCGCCACTGCTGAGACCCCCACGTCCCCGTCATCCCTTCTTACCTTAACAGCCATGCCGTGCTCCTAGCCCTTGGCGTACGACAACATTTACTTTAAAGCGACGTCCTCCGCACGTCCGCGCGCGCAGTCTCCTCTCATGCTCGCGCGAGTCCGATCCTCCAGGTCGTTTCACGGGCACGTGCATCACCCCCCCACCGTGTATGGGCAGCGTGGTGTGCTGAACTTCTTTCGCACCGTGCGTAGCTAAACGGAGATGCGCGGGGTGGAAGGACAACAAAGAACAACGATCCCCCGTGTAGCGTCAACAGACTGTAGGGGCAAGTGCTGTTCGCGAGTAACACCTATCAAGGCCGGAGCGGTGCACGAGTTGGTGGGTGGCCAGCACCACGCCCGACCGCCTTTGTCTCCCCAGTGGTGATGTTTACACACCACGGGAAGGGCAATAAACACTAAAACACACGCGCGCACACGCAAAGGGGCTCTATGCTTCTGCTGAACACGCTTCACCCTCCATTCTCTTCGTTCATACCCACGACGTGTCCGCTCCACGTGTGTCATCGCAGGTCAAGGTGCGTTCATTACGAACGAAAACATTTTTGACACGAGGTCTTTACGGGTGCTTAGAATCGGCTATGTCTCTTTGCCAGCATTGGTCTGTCTCTCTCACCTGAACTGCCCGGTTGTAAGTCTCAACATGAATTGTATGGGATACCTGCCTTGGCTGCCTGGTATCTACGTAACCTACCTGGTCTCATCACCTGTAAAGCTCCTGGTCCTCTGGTCTTTGGCATTTGAAAGGACTCGCCTGTACGGCCAGGTTCGAGTCTCACCCGTGCGTTCTGAGCCTTTGGTGGTGTAGTGGTAAACGCACATCACGACGAACCTGGTGAACTGGTCCTGGGTGTCCCCCAGTCCTTACAAGTCCAGTACCTGCCACTCACAAGTCGTGTGTTTGGTTTGTTGTCCTTCCCCCGCACCACCGATTTAGCACGGTTGGCTACGTACGGTGCGGAAGAAGTTCAACGTACACACACATCACAGGTGCAGCGTACACACGTCAGAAGTGGATGAGACAAAGGCGGCCGCGCACGGTGCAAGCCGCACCATCCCCCACATACCCCAATGCAGCCCTTAAAAGTTGCTTGCTTCACGGTTCCTGCCCCAACAGTCCATGAGGCTTAATCTAGGGGATATTGGTCTCTGTGCGTGTCTGGTCAGGCTCTAGGTGCCCCTATTCGCCCCGACTTTGCCGGATCCTGCTCGGTATTTGAGAGCGCCCTCCGGGCTACAGCCGCCCCCACCGCTCTACTGCTGTGTTTGTTTCTGGGTAAGGCTGTGGTTTCTAGGGAAGTGTTTGTTTCTGGGTAAGGCTGTGGTTTCTAGGGAAGTGACTGCGCTGTTGTGACTGATTAGCAGCCTCTGGTGTCACCTCGGAAGCACGGGCGCTAAATGGGTCTGGCAAGAGTTTAAAAGGTAGACGGAGCCCTGCTATCGCTCGCCCGGGTCAGTACTGGCGCAAGAGCCTCCCAAGAGAGAACATTCAAGAGAGCCCCTGTATATTGTGTATTTGGCCTCCTCTTCCGACGCTGGACAGACATCTTGGAAAAGGTGGGAATACACACACACACTTTACCACCACCACACGTGACACGCCGATTGTCCTGCTTGGGCGATGGTGGCTAGGAGGTAACTACCTCCCCTGGTATGCAGGAGGGTCGTGGGTTTCATCCCTACCCTGGTGCCTGCTGTATATTTGGAGTTTGCATGTTCTCCCCGTGGTCACGTGGATTTTTTTCTCCACATTTAGAATCGGCATCATGCGTTTTTATAGAATGCGGCTGCTATCAATTTCCACACCATGATAAGCCACTTGGTTGAGCTATCATTTCTTTGATGGCCAGGCCGCTTCTGAAAAAGAGCTACATAGCTCGGTGGGCCTTACCTGGTGAAATAAAAAATAGTTTCAAGAGCCAACGCCGCCGCGCGGTGCTTTCTCTAGACGAGAGGACAACTCTGAGGCGCTGTGAGGAGGAGCCGGAGCCACCCAACGATTGTCCAAGCTATGGGGTTCTCTATATATTAAGGCGTTATTGGCCAATGAATGAGCGTGTGAGGGTAAACTCTAACCACCGCCTCGTGGCTACCACGCAAACAGCACTTTACCCCAGCAGCCTGTTGAGGTGACACTGGGAGTATTTGTCTTTGTTGTGTATGTGTGTGAACCGGTCAACGGCCTCTTCCCTAGGTCGACTTGACCTCAAATTAGTATCTGGCTTAGGACTGTACTGTTGATGAGCGGACAGAGAGGTAAGGGCGGATTGTTAGGAAACCTGCACCGTCGTTCTTAAACTGCCGCGCCGCGGAAATCGAAGCGCCGACCTCCGGATCGTGAGTCCAACATGGGAACCTTTAAACCCACGGCAGCGTCCAAGTCCGATAAGAAGTCGTGATTGAATCGTCTTTGTCACCCGCAGTGCCACGTCAGGCGGGCAAATATACAGCCCAGCTGCCGTATGTTGGACCCAGCGTAATTTTTACTCTGCAGCGTGGAATTTGAGGGGCGACTGCCAAAAGTGTCATGTTGAGACTGGATCAGTCAGCAGCTGGATATAAGCACACACCCTCTTTGGAGCAAGTCCGGATGTGCGTGTATGTCAGAAGAGTGCTTATATCAGGGGATGTCATTAACGTCGTCGTCCCCCCACCTCTACCAGTGTAATGAGAGAAATGTGTTGCTCATATCAGAACTGTGCGGTGTGCTTATTTTCATCTTCTGTTTGATTAGCATTGTAATGCTGGGCTCTGGGAGTAGCTAAAGTTTGTATAACCAGACTGCTCGCTTTCTCACGAGCCTCATAAAATGCGTTACCCGTCAACTGGAATGTGCCGCTTGACGCTCACTGAATGTGCTATCGAGTGGAGGTTGGTAAACATACGATGGGGGTTAGACCGACCACCTAACAGCGTGACATCCGTGACCTAAGCGCGATGATTTAAATATCGCTTAGCTTGCACGAAAGGGCAAAGTTAGCACATCGGCTAAAAGTTAAGAATAGGCCGCCAGCGTGGTGCAGTGCCTCACTGTAAGAAGGCCCTGGGTTCGACTCCCCTACTCGAGCGCCCTTCTGTGTGGAGTTTACATGTTCTCCCCCTGCTCCAGTGCTTATGAACGTGTGAGTGAGGTTGAAGGAGACTGAGTTTGTATGTCTGTCCCCTGTTTTACATGGCTTTCCTATGTTTTCCTCCCATAACAAAAAAACCCCCCACACAATGTAACTCATGTTATTGGCCAAAACATCCCAATGCTGGACTATGTACCTGCAAATTACTCGATTGTGGTTACACATTGCAACCATCGCCCACATCCCCCTGTCCTGCATGGATTTCCTCTGGGGGTTGGAGCTGCAGTTTCCTCCCATGGCAAAAACAAACGATGTAATTGATATCGGCTCAACATCCGAATGATGAAAAAATAATTGCATATTACTCGATTGGAATTTACACGCAGCAGCAGCAACATTGCCCCCCATTGTGAAAACTTGGCAGGACCCTCCTGAAAACGAGTTTTGAGACTTGGTGAGGCTTTGATATAATAACTATAACAACAGGTCTCATTTACAACTTTCCTTGGGCTGGTGGAGGCATTACAATTATGCTGCCTTCGGTGTTTCGTTCAATTGGCGACCCCTCCGTTGTATATTTCGTACGTGTTATTTCGTACGCTACGCTACGTGTGCTTTGAGCCCCGTAACACATTTGTTTCGCTTCCCCAGGCACGTGGAAGAGCCTGGAGCGCAAGGCATGAGCCACAATGGCGCTGGCACCGCCGCCGTTGTCCGCCGGTCACTGTGGCACGCTGCGCCGCGAGCTCGGCCCGGACGCCGGCACGGGCGGCCCCGCCGCACGGGGGCGACCGGCAGGGGCCGCGACCCCCCAGCTCGGGGACGGTAGCCCCCCGCCCCGGACCGACGCCGGCGGCCCCCGGCACCGAGCGCGCCGCCTCAGATCGCCGGCGCCGGACGTCGTCGGCCCCGCCTCGACGACGCGCGCGCCTTGCCGCGCTGGTTCGGGCGAGCCGTGGCTCACGGGAAGGCGGAGGGTGCAGTCGGCGCGGCCGTCCGTCCGCCCGGCCCCCCGCCCCGGCGCCGCCTCACCGGCGCTGGGAGAGACGACGCTTTTTGGGCAGTGGCAGCGGTCGGATTTCCTGCGTGGCCAAAGTTTGCGAGGGAATTCGAGGACGGCCGCGGCGGGGTTGGGTACCGGCGGCGGTGGTGACTGCGTTTTGCCCCGGATCGTTTCGCGGTCGAGCGCACGTCCGGGCACCGCTACCCACCGCCCGCGCGACGTTTCGACGACGCAGCAAGTGGCACGCAAACCCGGAGCTCACCCCGCGCACCGTACATCACCAAAGCCACCGGCGCACGTGAACCTCTTGTTGAGACAGACGACCGTCAATTTGCTCTTGGACGGCACCGCCGCCGCTGCTGCCGCTAGGTTTGTGGAGAACACCGTGCCAGCCGTCGAGACAATCCATGACCACCGGCTGCTCAACGGAGCGAACGCCGGCAGCGTGGGGATGCCCGTGGGAGCTGCCGCGCACGGCGGAGTGACGGACACGTCGAGCGGCCCGGAGCTGCCCGTGATGCAGCTGACGGCCGCCGTGCAGAGACTGGCCGCGGGCGCCGCGAGAAGCGGGAGCGAGCCAACGGTGAATCCGCCAGGCGGCCCCATCGCTTCCCTGCGCGAGTCTCCTCCGAGCGTCCGCCCGACGACGCTGACGAGGAAGCCCAACCCGAGCTCGTGCAAGGCGAAATCGGATCGCGCGAAAAACCCGGAGGCGAAGCCGAGCGCGAGCAGAACACGGGGCGGCCCTGGGAACGCGCCGGTGCGCCGGGTCGGCCCGCGGCTCACCGGCAAAGGCAGCGGCATGTCGGCCGCGCACTCGGGGCAGGGGCAAAGCGGGCGCGAGCTGGGGCAGCGCGGGTGGAGGCCCGGCGGTCCACCCTCGGAGCTGGGCAGCGGGGACTGTGGGCAGGACGGAGAAGAGGAGGAGGAGGACGGGAGCGAGGCGGTGGAGGATGACGGTTCGGAGGACTCTTCTGCGCAGTCTGTGGACCTCGATGGTGACGACGAAGACGACAACGACGATGACGAGGAGGAGCTGCCGGATGGACCGGACGAGGTGGGAGATGAGGTGGACGTGAGTGACGGCACCAGCTCTGACGATGACGGAGGTGACTACGCCGCGGCCTTGGACCTCGCCGTGAGCACTGCCGCCTGCAGGTGAGACTCCCCTGAGCGGTGATGTCATCACACGGCTCTGACTGATCATCATCACCCATGATTATATCTACTGCTGGATGACGTGCCTCGCCTTGTGACGTAACATTCCATGAAGCTCCGAATTGTTATTTGGACTCCTTTGGCAATAATGGGTGATGGAAGCCACTTCTTTTTGTGTTTAGTTTGTTGTCCTCCCGCACCTCCGATTAGCACGGGTGGCTACGTACGGTGCGAAAGAAGTTCAACATATGTACGTACAAAGGAGGGCGTTAATGAAACAAATGTGACCAGATCATTACGTGGCTTTTAGTCCAAAAATCAATAATAATGATTCGTGAAAAATCATTTGCATATCTCAGAAGCGCGTCGATGAAAGAAGGAGATTTAATTGCTGTGAATGCTCCGCAAGCTGCCTCACCCGATGTGGAATTTAAATCTTGCACGTGGGCAGGGATCTCTTGGCACCGGTAAGACTGTCCCTGTCCGTCTCTGTTTCCCCCGCAGTGTGCCGGGCAGCGCCCAGGACGGGCAACTCAAGCCGGCGCTCGTGCCCAGCATTTTCGACAACGTGCCGCCCACCGTCTACTTTGGCACCGCGGAGGAGACGAGTAAGAATTTCGATGTTCTGCTTGATGCCGCTTCCTCTACCCAGGCAGTGGCGTAGCAGTCGAGCGTGCAGTCGGTGTAACTGCACCGGCGCCCAGCTTGTCGGGCTGTGAAGAGAGTCGTGGGCATTGGACAGGGGCCTGGAGAGCTACTTTTAGTTTTTTGCATCAGGGCCCATTCCCAACCGCACAATTTTCAACCTCACCTTGCCACCCCCGCCATGCCACGGAGGGCTTAAACACGCAAACGTTTTCGCGCAGATAGCTTCAATCCACAGCCTCGGTCCACAGAGTTTATTAGATCTGTTTAACGCGTAGGCTTTCCCAACAAACATCACCTGTGTGTTTGGGTTAGATCGTGTAAATGTCGTTAATCTGTCTGCGGCCCTTTGCTGTACTGCCACCTCCTGGCAGCTCACTGCTCTATCAGTCTTTTGATGCCTACAAATCTTGACACGTGTCGGTGGTCACCGATACAAGTACAAACCAGCCTCGAAACTGCTTAGCTTCTGAGATCGGGCACATGCCAGGTCATTTTTAGCCATGGACTTTTAATTTATATCGCGGTTTAACGCGACCCCCATCTGCAGACTCTCAGAAACACGGGAGCCAATGCTTATTTATGGGTCTCTATGTGGGTCTCTGGATGCCTATGTCAGTATATGAGGGTGGATAGCCAGCACCACGCCCAGCCGCCTTTATCTCTACAGCGCCGACGTCCACACACCGCGCCGACCACTCATTTTTTTAAGGCCGCGTCGACCTAGGGGAAGGCCAAGGACCACATCGGAGAGCGGTCACCGGTGTCGGGTTACGCGATGCGGGGATCGTGAAATGGGCCCCTTCCGTTGACGCCTGCCTCCTGTTTCTCTCCTGCGCAGTCGCGATGCTGCCGTGGCCCCTGCGCAGGAAGCTCAAGTGGAAGATGAGCCCCGTGACGCCGCAGGTCGTGCGGAAGACGTTGGCGCGCTCCCACTTCCGCCCCACCGCCAGTAAGCGCCTCGCCCGCCCGCCCGCCCGCCCGCCTCCTCCCGCACGTTTTATAATTATCTGTCACGTTACGCGATCCCAACGTCGGCCGCTGTCGTTCGCGAAGTTCGCGGCCTCGGCTTGCCGTTCCACCTTTGGCCGATCTTTGGACGCTCCTACTGCTTCTTCTTCTTCTTTCGTACGGCTGATGTTGATGCGGAGCAACAACTTCAATTTCCCAGTCGGGTGGTCAAAGCCAGACAACCGCGTCATGAGCAGCGGAGTGTATCGTCCATCGCCGTTATGTCTCCTTCGTATTTGTGGATCGGGGTATTGCGTCGTTTATACGTTGTGCGGTCCGTTCTGGATGACCACAGTCGCACACTGCTGGAGAGGTTTTTTTTTTTTTTAATTTTCCATTTGTACATCAGTTTAACCGCATCTGCCATAGTTTGTGCGGACGCGGTTTACACATGCCGCATGCGCCTGATGATGACGATTGTTGTTTTGAGCAACCGCGAGCTTCTCCGGGAAAGTTCGCCGAAGAAGCCCTCGGCACACGGAGAACTTTACCCAAGGAAATCCGCGGCGTGCGCGACGCGAAACGTCGGACGTCATGCCGTACGACCGGCTGCGTAAGCGGTACGACCCGTAAAATGCGCCGGAGAGAGAGCGCGAGAGAGCGCGAGAGAGAGCCGCCGCGCGTCGTGGCACGGCTGGCCTGCGCAGGAGGCCGTGGCGCAGGTGCAGCAGCAGGCAGCCAGGGGGCAGTGTTGCGTCGGGCGCTGTGGTGCACGTGGCCGCTGTTATAAAAACAACCACTGCCGTGGAGTGGGATGAGGGGGACAGCAGTGATGCATCAACAATCCCGGCGGTCGTGACGCACCCATGACTCGCGCTGCACCCCCCCCGCCACCACCGCCGCTCGTTACTGCGCCCGGGCTGGCAACGTGACGGAGGCCCCCCCGCACCCTCTATACTATCGGAGAGAGACGGGTTTATTTTTCTCTTAATGACGACCGCTTGTGTTGCCATCGAAGCGTCATAGTTTTTTTGTTCTTTTCTTTGAACCTACTTCAGTGACTTTACCAAAAGACCCAAAGAATAGTGGAAGTCGCCTTTACAAATACATGTGGTTTATTATTGTTTATCAAGTCCCCAGCCTTCCCCATAAAATCTTAGCTATAAGACGGGGGAAAAAATTGTTTCTTTACTTAATATTTATTTTATTCACCGATTACTTTTCCTATACTACTCGTTGCGGGCGGTTTAAATTTACTCTGCTCATTCGGTGTGAGCCGCTGAGGTCGTGACGGACTTCTTTTTCTCATTCCTGTTGCTCCTCCATGCCCCTTGTAGCTTTCCCGTTCTGCTGTCTTGCGCGTGTGTATCTTGAACTTCTGTTGCACTGTACATAGCCAACCGTGCTCATAGTCTATTTCAGCGGTCCCCAACTTTTTTGGCACCAGGGACCGGTTTCGTGGAAGACAATTTTTTCATGGACCGTGGGAGCGGGTGGGGGGGGTTCATCATTGAGTAATTTTGGCTACTAGGGGTTAGCTTGTGGGCTTACCAACACTGTGACTGAGACAAGTGCGCAGTGCGGGAAAGAGGCGCGGACGGAAGTGGTAAATAATAAAATAATGGGTGGGTTCCACGCGTGGACTCGCCGCTCACCTCCTGCTGTGCGGCCTGGTTCCTAACAGGCCACGGACCGGTACCGGTCCACGGCCTGGGGGTTGGCCACCCCTGGTCTACTTCATTGAGGGCGATAGTGGCACGTAAGATGAAGACTGATTGAACGATTGAAGGGTTTTGCTCCATGCGGGGGAAATGTCTCCTGACTCAATAAAATGAGTACATTTTGTGCAAAGTCAAAAGTACAGGAGCGCTCAATGTGGTTGTTCCATAGTCGTCGCGCGGAAGAAAGATAAAACTGTCGCGTCGTAGGAATGTGGGCGTTCCACCCGCGGCAGATAAATTAACACGGATGGTGCGTGTGAAATTACACGGCGACAATGTGGGAAGCCCTTCATCCAGCAGCGGAAGGGTCATTGCTAACGGTGATGGTGATGACGACAACGGGGCTCCGCGGTGGTGAGATGTTAACTAGCTCGCCCGGTATGCAGGAGGTCGTGGGTACGATCCCGAGCCTGATGCCTGCTGCTGCATATTTGGAGTTTGCGTGTCTCTCTCCCCGTGGTCGCGTGGATTTTTCTCCGGTTCCTCCGGCTTTTCTCTCCGACATTTAGAATCGACGTGCTTTGAGAGTATTTGACTGCTATACATTTCCACGTGATAAGCCACTTTGTTGAGTGATCATTTGTGGCGAGGTTGCTTCTGAAATAGAGCTTTTAGAGTTCCGGTAACATAAAAAGTTTAATAGTTGAATGGTTGAATGTGAAAAGTAAGTGGGATTGGGCAGGACAGTTCGCTGGATGGGACGGCGGTCGAGACGAATGAAGTGGTGGCAGCCCAAGGAGGGATCGAACCCATCGGGCCATCCACCAGCGATGACGTTACGTCGTGTGCAGGTGATATACGAGTTGTGACAGCTTGGGGAGGGCTTCATTCAGCAGTGGACTGAACATGGCTGTTGACGACTCAAGGTGCTTGATGTAGCTTACAAAAAACGATGGATTGAGGAGTGAGTGGAGGGGGATGGGAAGGAGTGGAGTGGCGAGGGGAGGGAAGAGAAAGAGAAACGGGCAGTCGAAGAGGTGAGGCTTGAAGAGAGGAGAACGGAAAGGGAGGTTAAGGAATCGACAGTGGCCCGCGCGCGTGCTTCATCGGCAGAGGGCATGGATGAGAGTGGCCAGGCCAGGCGGGCCTGGTTGGCTTTGCTTGCGAGGGGATAACCTGGCGCGGCACCGCTCTGCCCGCAGAGAGACACGACTGGCTGGGCTGCTGGGGCCGCCACATGAAGTCCCCGGGGTTCAGAGCACTGCGTGAGCACCAGAAGGTGAGTATCCCACTCCTCTGCTTTTAACCCAAGGCGTTTTAATTTGGGAATTGTTTTGCGGTCGAGCAGAGGCATCGAGGTTGGTGCGCGCCGCACTGTGAACCCCGGTGACCTGAGTTTCATTCTCGCGCAACTGGAGTGTGAACACAATCGCACGCAAATCAACGACGGACAAAAAACAATGTTGCAAACGAGGCGTGAGGAATGCGACGAGAGTCGATCAAATTCCCTCAGGAGGGGGCTCTAGGGCTCCCCCGTAGCCAGAGGCCCTTCCGCCAGCAGTGGCCGCGAGCGAGCAATCGCACGGCCGCACCGTTGTTCCCGTCATTCGTACGATCCCCGCGACTCGTCCCGCGTCTTGTCTCGTCCCACCCCCACCACCGTTGTCGTCGTCCCCCCCCCCCCCCCCCCCCCCGCCGCAGCTGAACCACTTCCCCGGCTCCTTTCAAATCGGGCGCAAGGACCGGCTGTGGCGGAACCTCTCGCGGCTGCGCGCGCGGTTCGGCCGGCGCTCGTTCGGCTTCGTGCCGCGCTCGTTCGTGCTGCCGCAGGACACCCGCGCCCTCCGCCTCGCGTGGGCCGGCGCCGGTGGCGGCGGCGGCGGCGGCGGCGGCGCCGCCACCCACATGCGCTGGATCGTGAAGCCGGTGAGAATTTACCGAGGCGGCGATTGCGCCCGCCCGTCGCTCGCAGTTCGTCTCGCGAAGGATTTTTGGCTCTGTGCCGTAGTGCTATTGTTGTTGTTGTTATTTATTATTATTATTATTGCGCCACTTGTTGACCCAGGAAAGGCGACATGTTAACCGAGTTTAACACGTGGTAGGCTTTCGCGACCAATATCATCCATAATAGAGGTTTGTTTGGGTTAGATCTCCGTAAATATATAAATGTGTCATTAAAACCCGCCACCACCCGACACAGCCAACTAGTAAGGGTTGTCACGTCAACAGAACGTGGCCAATTCGTCACTCGTACAGCACACCGGTGTGTTGGAGAGCCAAGCCACAACATTTACAATCTGAGTACGATGAAGCTAGTTGTATTTACGGGCGAAACGTCGTTAACTGCCTCGCCTGGTATACAGGAGGTCGTGGGTTCCATCCCGACCGTGATGCCTGCTGCATATTTGGAGTTTGCGTGTCTCTCTCTCCCCGTGGTCACGTGGATTTTTCTCCGGGTCCTCCGTTCTTTTTTCCCTTCCACATTTAGAATCGACATGCGTTTATTAAAGTATTCGGCTGCTATAAATGAGCACGTGGTAAGCCACTTTGTTGAGCTATCATTTGTGATGGCCAGGTCGCTTCTGAAAAAGAGCTATATAGCTCAGTTGGGGCCTTACTTGGTAAAATAAAAAAATGGTTTAGTTTAAGTGGCGGGCCGGATTCAAGCCCGCTGGCCGCCACGGGATTCCCCGCTCCGCGTGGTGAAGCGTGCGTGCGTCTGTCTCTCCAGCCGGCGTCGGCGAGGGGGATTGGAATCAAGGTGGTCAGCAAGTGGAGCCAGCTGCCCAAGAAGAGGCCTCTACTCGTACAGAGGTAGCGCCCCTTGTCGTTTTGTGCAACACGTAGGCTTTCGCGACCAATGTCCATGAGGTTTTTTTTTTTTAGATCGCGTAAATATAAATGTGAAAGGCTTAACGACGCATTTATATTAACGCGATCTCACCCCAAACCAAAACTAACCTCTCATTGCGAACTCTTCGTTTTGACGGTGAAATTCGTGGCGATACCGTTTTGACGGTGAAATTCGTGGCGATACCGTTCGTCGACGAAGTGCATTTCATTGTTCTTTCCTAGGTTATTTCGTTTATTTACTTTAGACGATGACTACGACCTAACACCAAAGCCTGAATGCGACGAGACTAAATGAGCGAATCTCCATGAAGACTGGGACGGAGATAATTGAGTGAACGAGCGCGCGTGTCGTTTGTCACGGTTGCTCAGCACGGGGCCCCAAAGTCCCAAAACACCGGTGGCCAGCAGGGTTTTTGGGATTTTTGTAAGAACTTGGGAAAACTTTCGTTGGGAGGGAAACTCCACGGTGGAGCAGTGCGAGGGAAGAAACGGAAGAAGGGATGAGTGTTCTGACCTGCAGCGTCGTTGGGTGAGTGCACGGGTGAGCGGCTGCGTTGTCACCTGAAGAGTGGCGGTTGACACAAGTCTGCGCGGTCGACCCGAGTCCCCTGACACGGAGCAGGAGGACTCGTTGAGCGACGCGACGTGAACAGGTAAACTGCGGTGGTCGCGTTTGAAGAGCGTGACGGGCAGGCGACTGACGTGCGCGCGTCCGCAGGTACCTGCACAAGCCCTACCTCATAGAGGGTAGCAAGTTCGACCTGCGCATCTACGTGTACGTGAGCTCGTACAACCCCCTGCGTGTCTACGTGTTCAAGGACGGCCTGGTGCGCTTCGCCAGCTGCAAGTACGTGCCCGGCAGCGAACCGGGCTCGACGAGAGATTGGAGATTTATGTCGCGCCCCATTCCAAGGGCGCTTGACAACAATTATAAAATTGTGCGTGAAGATGAGTGCGGTTGAATTAGAGAGCGGGGTTGTTCATAAAAGTGGTGGTGTGGTGATGGTGACAGGAGGGACAGCAAGGGAAAAGAGATGGGGGGTTGTTTTCAGGGAGCACCGGAAGCAGGTCAGAGTGAAGATGACACAGTACAATAGAGCATGAAAAGAAATGAGAACGTCATAAATGGCACCTTTTTTTGCCAGTATCACCGTTCGCCTTTTGGCGTTCTCTGGTCTGACACTGGTGATGCTCGGCCCTAAAGAAGACTGTCTCTGGTGTAGGCCAAGCAGTTTCAAAGGCAATGCCATATATTGTAATTGGAGCAATCTAGATTTGAAGCTTTCGTGACTGCAGGAATCCATTTTCTTTGGTTCTTTCGGTAAAGTCACGTAGGTAGAAAATAAAATAAATCACGACGTTTCGATTACAACACAAGCAATCATCATCAGGTGGGAAAACCACAGCAAAAAAAAATATTTGCATGTTCACCACAAGTACAGTGTGTGGTTAATGCGAATTTGATTCCTTGCAAAAGGTTTCGATTTGGAGTTTGAACATCTTAACGCCTCCTGTTTCACTGCCAGAAAGGGTAAAGCCCATTCTTATTTTTTCACAATAACATACGTTCAATTTATAACGAGCACCAACTTTTTGCGACCCGAGTTCCATTCCCGGCCACGGCTTACATCAGCGGCGAATGACATCTGAACCCAGCCTGGTGATGAAGTATGATCAACCAACCCCCATGGCCAGTACCACTCGCTCCCCGCCCCAGAGATGCGTGTGAGAGTCCAGGTTCTCTATTGAGACTACGGTCAATGTTGCCGCTGAAGCAGTGATAGCGATGATGACGCGTCTCTATTTTGTTTGTGCGCCTCATCGTATTGACACATGCGTGTCTATCTCCCCGTGCACACCCTCAGCGGGAGTGGCCCAGGTAAGTTGTGTCCTGAGCATACATGTGATTTTGCACGATTTGTCATTTACACTGTTATACGGATTCACACGCGTCACAGAGTCTCCCTCCCACGCGGACTTTAACGTGCCACCACCGTGGCGTCGTCCGCTAACTCGCTCGCACGCACGCACGCACGCACGCAGGTACTCCTCTGCCACGAAGACTCTGGGCAACCGCTTCATGCACCTGACGAACTACAGCGTGAACAGGAACAACACGGCCTACAAGAGCAACGACGACCGCACCCAGTGCGAGGGCCATAAGTGGTGAGCGCCGGACGCTCGCTCGGGGACCCCCCCCACACTCCCCCCCCCCCCCCCCCACCCCCTCTCTCGCTCTCGCCGGCCACGGACCATCGCGTAAAACTGTCCGACGCGCTTTCCCGGGTCGTACCCGCGCGTCGTTTGTGGCGGTGGCCGACGTTTTGCTTCACGTGCTTCTTCAGGAGCTCGAATGGAGTGGCTCGAGTTCTCCCTCGATTTTATATATATATCTTTTTTGTAGTTGTCCTTCCCCCCCCCCCCCGCACCTCCAATTAGCACGGTTGGCTACGTACGGCGTGAAAGAAGTTCAACATACATACATACATACAACGTTTCCGGCTGCTGCTGAGATATTCACCAGCGACAAATACCAGGGTGAACCCACTTGCTGTACTTCCGTGCGCGTCCGCATGGTGTGTCTGCGAGGTACGAACCCGTGGGGGGGGGGGGGGGGGCGTGAGAGCGCCCTATGGCGCAAGCTGGAACAAAAACAAACTTGGCCAGCGGGAGATCGTCTCAAACGTTTGGTGGCGGTCTCGCGAGGAGGGGAACCATCGTCGCGCGCTACTTCATTCACGGGCGCCGCCGTTGGGTGGGCGATTAGCACCGGGGAGAGTTCACCGTGTTTGCGATCCGGGGCGGGGTTCTCTCTCAAATACGTTCTGCCGGCCGGCTGCATTGCCAGGGTGTGGACCCGTTGTTACCGCTGCTGCCATCGCCACCGCCGCCGCCGCCGCTGTCAAAACGTTTGTGCGACGGGGGGGTGGGGGGGCGGCGTGTGTTTGGCCGCGGCATACACAGACCGAAATCGCCCGGTCGAGCTGATAAGTGCCCACCCACGCCGGACGTGTCGCTCCTGCCGTAGGCGTACCACCAAACGCGCACCCACCCGCCGGCTCGTGCACACGCACGCACGCACGCACACACGCAGGTGATAAGCGGCACCGGAGAGAGGAGGGCACGAGGGGGGAAGAGATAAGGGCGCCACTTTCAAACGGAGCGCTTGTGAAGACGGGCGGTGGCGGAATGCTAATGGCAGAGCGCTGAGCACACAAGGCGGGGGTTAGGGGGGGGGTCGGCGGCGGTGCCGCCGACATGCGACGTGTTTGCTCTGTGCCGCGACTTGACAGGGCCTTGAAAGCGCTGTGGGGCTACCTGTGTGACAAGGGAGTCGACTGCCGCACGATATGGGAGCAGATCAAGGATATCGCCGTCAAGACCGTCATCGCGTGAGTGCCCCTCCCCCCCCGCGTCATCGCGTGAGTGCCCCCCCTCCCCCGCGTCATCGCAGCCCCCCTTGTGGCGTGGGACGGACGCGGACCCATTTGTTTATTTGGTTTTATAATCGATGGAGAAACCTAACGTGGTGTAGGGGGTTACGTGGCCGCATGGAGTCACGACGGAAGGCCTATTTATTTGTCCTGGCATACGCTGGAAAATATACATTTGCATTGTTATCCAACTGGCTCGTAACTTTTTGGCCACTCCACCACCACCCCAGGTGAAGGTTCTCCAGAATCCGGCGAAATGTTGGGATTGTGGTCTGGGGTATGGAGACCGAACGAATTTATTTATTTCAATTTATTTTCTCTGCGGTGATTTTTTCTCGTTATTTATGTATTATTATTTTTATTTGCTAAGTAGTCGGGATTTATGTTTGGATTATCTGTGTACGGAGCTGGATAATTGATGTGCAGCGTTGTGGGATGCAATTGCATGAATGACGCGATATAAAATGAAATTATTTTCATGAAATCTGGTACCAGTGGTTCGTTGCGATACAGGATTATACAGTGGATTGACATGGTCTGTAAAATCATTACGTGAGTATCAAAGTTAATAACCTATGGAATTCATGAATTTCGAGCCATGGCACATTGGACCGTGATTCCAAACCCCAGTGATACAAGACCTAATGAGACGGACCCGGACTGTCCTCACTTTGTTGTTGGTGCGTTGTGGGAACTTTGTGTGAGCATTGCTACGAACCTGGCAATGTAATCCCGGACATGGCTGACATCCGTGGTGAATATCCGAACCTGTCCTGGGCAGTGCCCCAAGTTAACTCATCTCTTAATGAACACCTGGTGCGATGTGTAAACATCAGCACTGGGAAGACAAAGGCAGTCGGGCCTGGGGTCGGTCAGCCGCAACAAATATTGTGGGCATTGGTGAGATGTTAACTACCTCGCCTGGTATATAGGGGGTCGTGGGGTCAATCCCATCCTGACGCCTGCTGTATATTTGGAGTTTCCGCGTCTCTCTCCCCGTGGATTTTTCTCCGATTTTGCCCTCCACATTTAGAATCGACGTCACGCGTTTGTAGTAGATGGCTGCTGTAAATTTCCACGTGGGATGAGCCACTTCGTGGAGCTATCAATTTGTGGACGCCCAGTGTCGTAGCTCGGTGGGCATTACATGCTAAAATAAAAAAAAATAGTTCCGTTTATAAGTTGAAAAAATAGTTCGGTGACTTTATTTTTCAAGCGTGTCGGCTTGCGTGTCCTCCGCAGCTCGGAGCCGTTTGTGAGCAGCCTGCTCGCCCAGTTTGTGGGGAACCGCCGCTCCTGCCATGAGCTCTTTGGCTTCGACGTCATGCTGGACGAGAAGCTCAAGCCCTGGCTGCTGGAGGTCAACATCTCGCCCAGGTGAGCCGCGTGCTCGCACCTTCCTCCCACGTAGTCCGCGCCAGAAAGCCGTGCAGTAGACGCTGGATCATAAGCATACCTTGCATAAGTGCAGTTCTGATGTATAAGCGGCACATTCTTGCCTTGAGCTGGTTGGCCGGGGGTCGGGGTGGGATGGTTAGAGAGAATACTCCTGATATAAGCACACTACTTAGGATATAAACGCAGCATTGCTCCAAAGGGGTGTACTTACATCCAGGTGCTCCAGTTTCCTGCCACGTGTATATACACTCATTCTTAGTCTTAAAACATCTTAATATTTAGAGGAGTGCAGAGTTCGGGCAAATGTTGGCAACGGCTCACCTCCTGGCTGCCTTTCAGCTTGTCTGTGGATCCTCGACAAGGCTGAGATGTAATTTGTATAAACGACCCCATGTAAAACTAATCCTTATTATACACCGATTTTCCTGTTAAAGACCAAAATGCTCCATCCACTTTAACAGTATTAAAACCTTGCGATGCGTTTCCTGGTTCTGCTGCGTGCGACTTGTTTTTGGCATCCTGTCCGACGTTTCATTCCACCTGCTGGGAGCTTCTTCAGGAACTTCTCCCGCGCGCTAAGAGTTTTTTTTACCGCCTTGGCGAGGCTTTCTGTCGTAATTCATACTCCTCTCCGACCTGGGGCGCCACGGTGGCGAGATGTTTACTACCTCGCCTGGTAGACAGGAGGTTGTGGGTTCGAACCCGACCCAGACTAAAGCTGTATATTTGACGTTTGCGTGTCTCTCTCCACCGTGGTCGCGTGGATTTTTCTTCGGGTCTTCCGGTTTTCCCCTCCGCATTTAGAATCAACATCACGCATTTAGAGTATTTGGCTCCTATACATCTCCATGCGATAAGCCACTTCGTTGAGCTCTCATTTGTGGCCAGGTCGCTTCTGAAAAAGAGTTTTAAAGCTCAGTGGGGCCTTACCTGGTAAAATACAAATAGTTTAGTTTTTAGTTTTAAGTGGCCTGTTGTCGCATAGTGCCGCAGCACAACCGCGAAAAATCTTCGCAGTAGAATTTTAAACTCGCAAGCCCGGGGTCGGGGGGGAGAGTTGACGGGAACGCTGTGCGGTGGTGCGCCCGTGTACGTCGCAGCCTCCATTCGAACTCGCCGCTCGACGTCGCTGTCAAGGGCCAGCTGATCAAGGACCTGTTGAACATGGCTGGCTTCCAAATTCCAGCCAGGTAGGGGGAGACGCACGCACGTGTTCACGTGCACGCACGTGTTCACGCGCACGCACTCACACACGCACGCACGTTACACGCTCGCGCATTGCACGCGTCACAGCGAGCGGATTCCCAGCTTGCAGGGAGGCGGTGACGGAGCGAGGACCGTGAGCGACGTTGCCACCAATGAGCGCTCCAAGCACGCCTTCTACCTCTCCCCACGCAACCTCGACGAGGTGAGACAATCGTCGACGTCCAGCGAAGCGTCGCCTCCCTGCCTCCCTCCCTGCCTCCCTGCCTCCAGGCGTTTTTCCCCAACGTGTGGCTTGTCCATTCCTTGCTCCTCTTTCGCCATTCGTTCCTCTCCTGGGTGATGATCTCTACGTCCACTCCACAGTCCTTCAGATCCGGGCTCGCCACTTGGAAGCACCTTTTCCAGGCGAATGTTTCGCAGAAGGTCGGGAGGGGGGCGATGTCGCTGCTGTGTCTAATCCCATTTGAGTAATTTTCAGGTGATGTCTGAGCATTGGGGATTCTTCTTTAATATGGCAGAAGGGGAAGTGCGACAGTTTTGAAACGTGGCATCAGGGTGTTTTTGTTTAGCACCAATTACATTGTACGGTGAGTCCTCGCTTTAAAGCGTGTTCACACAACGCGTTTTCACCGTACCGTGGTTCTTCTGTCGGGGAATTATTTTTGCACAATGCGTAACGGCGCCCGTTGTTATCACGCGGTTTCTGAGCGTTCGGCGACGGACTACTTTCTTCACCTGCGCTGTCGAGCAGCATTGGAATTCTGGGTATACACGCGGAATGATACAGTCCGCGTGGCAGCTTTTACTCTCATATCAGTACTTTGTCCCGCCATCGCGAATGGCTGCAGGCTGACTTTATTGTTGAAGTGTGATTGAAATGCGCATTATTTTACTCATACCCAATAAACGTGTGCACAGTAATTCCTCACTTAACGCGTTTCCACTTTACGCGGCACTTTGCAGCAACGCACGAATCGCGTTAAGTGAGGAATTGGTGTACGTTTATTTTCTTGTTGCAAAGTGTTTGAATTAACGGTTTAATTGAGACGAGACGCGCGGATTATTTCTAACGAGTGTGCATGTGTGTGTGTGCGTGCGTGTGTGTGCGTGTGTGTGCGTGTGCGCGCGTGCGTGTGCGTGCGTGTGCGTGCGTGTGCGTGCGTGTGTGTGTGCGGGGTCTGGTGGCTGTGGGCGGCTCAGCGCGGCACGCTGCTGGACACGCTGACGCCGGGCGACGTGCGCGTGCTGGTGGAGGCGGAGGACGAGTTGCGGCGGTGCGGGCGCTTCGAGCGTGCGTTCCCCTCGCCCTCGGCGCGCTACCTCGTCTTCTTCGCGCAGCAGCGCTATCACGACCTCCTGCTGCACCGCTGGGCGTTGGCGCACCCGCCCGGCACCACAGCAGGTGCCGTCGCGGTCCCGCCTGTCCGCTCGCCCGCCCGCCCGCCCGCCCGCCGATGACGGGATGCCATGCGGCGATTCGCTTTCGCATTTAGGCCACGTAATGGTCTGGCCAAAATCTGTGTCGTAACACCCCTTCACCACCTGACATAGCCAAACAAATTAAGGGGCCATCCATTGAGTAGGTACGCAAAAATCTGTCAACTTGACCCCTCCCCCCCTCCCTGTACCCACGCGTACTTTTTACACCCCTCCCGCTTGACGCACCCCCCCCCCCCCGAATCCTATAAAACGGCCGATATTTAATCTACGCAGAAACGATCAAGGATGAATAATATTAACGTGTTTAAGCAAACAATCCACCGCCGGCTGCATTCAAGAATTAAGTTGCGTACCTTGGCCACTTATTTTGCTGAGCTGCGTGATGGCTAACAGTCAGGGGTACGGTGGCACATAAAGTGTGACACCTCTCCCACAGTCCCACTTCTCCCGGTAGTACTTGTCTGACAGCGGAAGAAACTGAACTGTGGCTCATTTGAAAGCCAATGTAGACAAATTATTATCGAGGCTCTTTACCCCCCCCACCCCCCCCCCACGTTTGCTATGCGTATCTACATTGTCAGTAGACCCCCCCCATACGCAAGCTACGCATTGGGTTAACCCCCCTCCATGCGTACTAAATGGATGGCCCCCTAAGCTGTCACGTTTCCGAGTGGTTAATGACGCGCCGCTTGTTATTGTTTCGGCTCGCTCGCCGATTGAAGTAAAAAAAAAAATATTCGCATCACGAACATTTTTCAGTGAGACGTGACATCGCGCTCGAGACTACGCCAAGCATCTTCAGGACAAGATCCAGGAAGTTGGAATAAAATGCAGGAAGTCAGAATGGGGGTCTTTATCATCACGTGACTTCACCCAATAATGAAATGTTAATCGTAGTAATTGGCTGCGAAACCCTCCACGTGCTAAGTAGAAGGTGTAGCCCAACAATTTCTTGCTCAAGCCACTGCTGCTGGAAGGGGCCTCCACTTAGAGGGAGATCTAGAGAGCCCCCCCCAGAGAGCAGTGTTGGCCCCACCCTTCCACGACGATCGCCCGACCGTGTTGGAAGAAGAAGCGAGAGTACCCACGCTTTACCCCACCGCACGCAACCCGCTGATTGACGAACTGTGGCGTTGCACATTCCCACTGCTGGGTGGACAGAGGCAGTGTGGGGGATTGAAGACGATTGTACCGTTGTTGAAACTTTCTGTGTTGTGGGATGGAATCGATCCTACGACCCTCTGGGTTTTACAAGTCCGTGGCGCTAGCCATTACGCGACGGCAGAATCCCAGCGGGAAGCACGCAGTCGTAACATTTCAACGAATCTACGTTTCTTGTTCCCAATGCAGGCATCGATCTTCTGAAGCGCCTTTGCAAGAAGGGCGTTCACCTGGGCCCTACGGAGGACCCCGCCCACATCGTAAGTAGAGGTCGGGAACGGTGCGGTACTTGGTGGTGTGGCGGTGGCGGTGGTTGAGTGATTGTGGTCATGGTGGTGGTGTGAAACTACTGGACATCTGTGAAAAAGAGCTTCAGAGCTCATCGGATATATCCAGGATAAATCAAAGTGGTGGTGTGATTTTGGTGGTGGCGGTGGTGGTGTGGATGTATAGTGGTTGTGTGCTTGTGGAGTAGTTACTGAACTTACAAGGGGGGGCGGTGGCGCCGTGGTTGGTACACCGCACTCTAAATCCACTGACCCCAGTGACAGTGTTGGTGGTGTTATAAGTGGGTGTTGTTGCACTGCGCTACGAACCCGGCGACCCAAGTTCGATTCCCGCTCACGGCCAAACACCGGTGATGATTATCTGAACCGGTGATGGGCTTCCCCTAGGTCGACTCCGCCTCAAATGAGTACCTGGTGCAGTGTGTAAACATCGCCACTGGGGAGACAAAGGTGGCCGGGCGTGGTGTTGGCCACCCACCCCCACGTGTGCCTTGCCGGCCTTCATGGGTGCTCCTCGCTAACAGCACTTGCCCCAACAGTCTGTTGAGGCTATGCGGGGGATCTTTGTCTTTGCTCTAAGTCCGACTCATCGTTGTCGTGTTCCTCGTCCTGCGCAGTGGACTCCGTCGGCGAGGTCGGAGCCTCGTCCCCGCGCCGTCGTCACTTGCGAGGCCGCCAGCGCCAGGTGGGAGACCCTCGCGGGAGGACGCTCGCAGCTCGGGCGCCGGCAAATCGAGCCGTGCGACGAGGGTAGAAAGCAGGAGGAGAAGCGTTGTGACCTGCAGTGTGTGGAGGGAGTGCGTGGATGGGTGCGTGAGTGCGCGAGGGAGTGTGTAGGTGGGTGGGTGTGACCTGCGGTGTGGAGGGTGGGTGGGTGAGTGAGGTGAGTGGGTGGATGCGTGTGTTGCTGTGACCTGCAGTGTGGAGAGTGCGTCAGTGAGTGTGGTGAGTGAGTAGGTGAGTGATTGAGTGGGTGAGTGAGGAGGTGAGTGGGTGAGTGAGTGAGTGAGTGATTGGGTGATTAGGTGAGTGATTGGGTGAGTGAGTGGATGGATGATTGGGTGAGTGAGGTGAGTGGGTGAGTAGGTGAGTGATTGGGTGATTAGGTGAGTGATTGGGTGAGTGAGTGGGTGGATGATTGGGTGAGTGAGGTGAGTGGGTGAGTGAGTGAGTAGGTGAGTGAGTGAGTAGGTGGGTGAGGTGGGTGAGATGAGTGGGTGAGTGAGTGAGTGGGTGAGTGAGGTGAGTGAGTGAGTGGGTGAGTGAGGTGAGTAGGTGAGTGAGGTGAGGAGGTGAGTGAGTGAGTAGGTGAGCGAGTTAGTAGGTGAGCGAGTTAGTAGGTGAGTGAGTGAGTAGGTGAGTGGGCGAATGAGGTGAGTGAGTGAGTAGGTGAGTGGGCGAATGAGGTGAGTGAGTGGGTGGGTGAGTGAGGTGAGTGAGGTGAGTGGGTGGGTGAGTGGGTGAGTGAGTGAGTAGGTGGGTGAGTGAGATGAGTGGGTGAGTAGGTGGGTGAGGTGAGTGAGTGAGTGGGTGAGGTGAGTAGGTGAGTGAGTAGGTGAGTGAGTGAGTGGGTGAGGAGGTGAGTGAGTGAGTAGGTGAGTGAGGTGAGTTAGTAGGTGAGTGAGTGAGTAGGTGAGTGGGTGAATGAAGTGAGTGAGTGAGTGGGTGAGTGAGGTGAGTTAGTAGGTGAGTGAGTGAGTAGGTGAGTGAGCGAATGAGGTGAGTGAGTGAGTAGGTGAGTGGGCGAATGAGGTGAGTGGGTGGGTGAGTGAGGTGAGTGAGGTGAGTGGGTGGGTGAGTGAGTGAGGTCAGTGAGTGAGTGAGTAGGTGAGTGAGTGAGTAGGTGAGTGAGTGAGTAGGTGAGTGAGTGAGTAGGTGAGTGGGTGAGTGAGTAGGTGAGTGGGTGAGTGAGTAGGTGAGTGAGTGAGTGAGTAGGTGACTGAGTGAGTAGGTGAGTGGGTGAGTGAGTAGGTGAGTGAGTGAGTAGGTGAGTGGGTGAGTGAGTGAGTGAGGTCAGTGAGTGAGTGAGTAGGTGAGTGGGTGAGTAGGTGAGTGGGTGAGTGAGTAGGTGAGTGAGTGAGTAGGTGAGTGAGTGAGTGGGTGAGTGAGTAGGTGAGTGAGTGAGTTATTCTGACCGGCAGTGTGCTGCTTGAACAGTGTGGATGAGTCGAACCAGTCAGGATGGCGGAATGGGGGAGTGAAGTTTTTTGGGAGCAGTTTGTTATTATTATTGTGGTTGTGTACCCAGGAAATCCTCACTGAGTCTCATGACTCATGTTCAGGAGGGTCATGTCATGGTTTTTGCGGTAGGGGACGATGCTCGTTATGTTATATTCCAAATGAGTTGTTTCCAGGCGATTTTTTTTTTTATGTGGCGGTTTGGCACCGTAATGCCAGAGACACAAGGACCTAAACGAATGACGTAACAGGATCGTTAACGTCCGCTGCGAAGCAGATTATATTACGGGTAACACCCGTGCAGTATTTACCAGGGCAGCCTGCTTAGACGCCAACCGTAAAACCTCTGCACCAAACGGTGAACGGCACCGCTGCCCCAGTGGCGGCATAGCAGCGACAGGGAACGGTCTCGTTAGTCAAGTTGACAAGTTTATTAACCAGGTGAGAATCCAAGAGACCAGGGCGAGGCTCGTTTGTGAGAGTGACAAGGAGGCGACCGAGCACCGACAAGCCTTGGCTAAGGTTCGGGTCGTATCGGCCCCCGGTGGCCGACTATTGTGACGGGAATTGCAGCCGAGCTAAAGCCTTTGCAAGACAAGAGATTGCAGTTTGCGGGGTAGGGTTGAGGCCATCGCAGTTGAAGCTGACGAAAGTTTGTTAAGGGGAATGATTGGTGGTCAGGGTTAAGGGTTATAGTTAGGGTTTGGGTCATCAGTTGTAGCCGACTCCAGTCTGTTAAGGGTTATGGTTTGTTGTCGGGGATTCGGGGTAGAGGTTAGGCCTGGGGTCACATCTCTTAAGAGCCGTCTGCCGTGATGAAGTGTAACTAATTTCTAAACAGAGCCATAACTCGTGCGGGAGGGTTTTTGTCATTTCACCGGCGACTTCTACAAACGACGGCACTCCGCTCCACGTCTCGGTGGCTTCCCTAGTGGCTTGGGAATGAAACGCCGCGTTGATTTGTGCCGTCGTTTTGACATTTCGGTCCCGAGGCTGCGCAAGTTGGGCACGAGGCCTTCGTCCGAATTCGTTACGTACTTATTCTCTGAGCCAAGTTTGACTACGGGTGGCCAAACATGAAGTCGGCTCCGTTATTAGGTGATGGTGGGGGGGGGGAGGGTGTGTCTGCAATTCCACTCTCCCCCCCCCACCCCCCCTCAATATTGTCAGGTCACCCACTCAATCGGTGAACTCTCTAAGTCTTCTTAGTCGGTCACGCTTTGATCTTCCGCGTGTGGTAGTAGTCGTCGTTGCCTAAATTGAAAGCACTTTGTTGACGAGCGATTTCGTCACGAATTTCATAACACCTACCCCGCCCGTCCGCGCAACTGTTTTGCCGCTTGTGACGAGGCCGACCGACATTTCCTTTTACAGGGCGGCCAAGCCTCCCGCGAAGCAGCCAGAGGAACGGGAGAAGGTGCCTACACCTGGGCCCCAGGTGTGCGGGATAAGCTCCAGCCTCGGCCTCTTGGCTCTCTCGCAAACCCAGGGCGTCCACCGAGCCCTCCGCACGGCCGGGAGTGTGGGCGACGTCGCTTGACACCTCCTCGCAAAACCCCGCCCGTCGTCATCCCACACCTCTCGGCAGCCCTGCCTCCCGAGTCGCCCGGCCCCATCTACCACACCTCGCACGCCAGGAGATTGGGGAACGGTTCTCCCCTACTATGCAAAAGGTGGTACGCTCCGAGGCAGTCGTCCGCACCTGGGAAGAAGTTGCAATATGATGGTGCGTGCTGCCAGCCGGGCGAGCCACTGCGCTTGGTGGAGTGGGGGGGGGACAGGTGGGGGGGGGGGGGGACAGGTAGGGGGGGGGGTTGGTGTTTCACGGAGTTTGCCACCCGTGTCGGGCTCCCATGGGGGGGGGATCGCCGTGCGTGTGTGTGCGTGCGTGCGTGTGCGTGTGTGTGCGTGTGCGTGTGTGTGTGTGCGTGCGTGTGCATGCGTGTGTGCGTGCGTGCACGCTCCCCTGGGGCCGTGTTGGTGGGCGCGGAGTGTTTGTGTCGCCCTGTGCTCTCCCAGCCTGCGCTCCATCTCCCTGGGGCATGTTTACTCTCGGAGTGGTTTTTTTTTTCCTTTTATTATTTTCCTTTTTTTTTTGTTGCTTTAAACCTCTGACCACTGACTGTCTGGGTCCGCAAATATGCAAGTGCGTGGTATGCGCCAGATAGTGCTGAATTATAGTTTTTTTTTGTCCCCGTCCCTTTAGTTCTTTGTAAGTGATTATTTATACACGCTGCTCCCATATATATGTTTTTTTTTTTTACATTTCATTCCAGCGGACGTTTCCTGTGTTGGCGGGTGACACGTGCTCGGGGGTTAGCGGTTGACCCCGTGGGATGGCGGGGAGGGCGCGATGGGAAGGTCGGGGTGCCGACTTGCCGCGGCCGCTACTGCCGCCGCCACCGCCGCTGCTGTCACGTCTCGGCGCCCTCGTGTTTACACTGACGTGATTCAGTACGGCCACTGGGCCCTTGTCGTGGGCCCGTGCGGCCAGACGGGGGGGGGGCGGCCACCGGGGCCACACGGCCATGGCCCCTCTCCCAGCGCAGACCGGGCCGCCACCGCCACCGCCTCCGCCGCCACGGCGTGAGATTTCGCAGAGCCGCCCTGTTTCCCCCCCCCCCCCCCGCTCCCTGGCCTCCGTTTGCCGCGCGCGCTCACTCGCTTAAGAATGCTTTGAATAGATATATCTGTGCGCTGGTGCTGAGGATGCAAGCCGTCGTGCTTAATGATTATGTATGGCCACCGCGGCCCCTGCCGGCGCTCCACCGCAGGCCATGATTTTTTTTTATGTGCGTGCATTTTTTTTTCCTTCCTTCCCTCCGGCGAGTTTGCGAGCGCGCCGCTGGTAGCAGCAGTGAGGAGGACGGCTTCCGTCCGACCGCCGCCGGCTTCGTGTTTCCGCCACGTCTCACCCCTCCGCGTGCGTGGAAACATGCTCCGCGTGCACTTTGGTGAACACGTTCCCGATGGTTGTGTCCCCGATTTTGCCGACGATGAACAGGGGCGGATGTGGGGGGGGGGGGGTAATTTATCGCGAAGGTGCGAGGCGTTTCGGTCGTTTATTTGAGATATGAATCTCGCCGTATGCTCAAACTGAGATGTGTGTGCCTTGTCACTACCGGTTGAGGTGGCCAAAAATCGTGGGGGTTTTTTTGGCCTTTTCCCACAATTCTATTGCAATTGTTCTAAAGGTATCTTGTCACGAGACAAAGTGACCATTCGGAACTCTGGCAGGGTGGTGCGTCGCCCTGTGTTAAAAAGAATGGCTTGCGGAGGGATATTTCACGGAACTACTTTTGAAATCCCATCAAGTGACCTCCGGTCCACATAGCAGGGCACAGCAGCAGTTTCCCATCCGCTCTGCTGTATGAGAGTAATGTTTGTCAACCAATGTTTCGGTGACAGTCAAACTGATATTTGATTTCTCGGAGCTGGAATTGAGCCAAATTGAGTAAAAGCACAAATGAATGTGGTGGGGCGGAGGTGGGGGGGGCTTTTTTTTTGTGCAGTCATCGGCAATCGGGCAGCACCAAGAAACTTACGCCGTTGTTTCAACTGTCGAGCCGCAAGATGGAATCGAACTGGCGCCAACGCATGTGTACATATGTTAAACTTCTTTCGCACCATACATAGCCAACCGCGATAATCGGACGTGCGGGGGCCAGACAACAAACTAAATACAAAGAGCAGTTATAAAGAAATTAGTTTAAAGCTAGAGATGATATAATATCGGAAAGAAGAGCGTTCCAGACGGCCGCAGAAGAGCATCAGAAAGCGCCGCGCGATGCGGTGATAACTTCCCGCGCTCAACCCTTTTCCAGTGTGGCAGCATCCCCCGGTGGCTCCAACGTGAGTGGCAAGACCCCGGGTGTCATTGCGCGTGGGTTGTATTTTGGACTTTTATTGTTGAATCATATTTTCTCGGCCAGCCCATACTGGCGGCAAACGCCTACATTGGGTGGGTATGCCTCACTTGGCTTGGTGCAGGTTCGGCAGTATTTCTGTTTACCAAACAAATAATGACCTTGTCGGAGATTCGCAAATTGTCTCACTGTGAATACGCCATTGGAGGCTTTTTTTACAGGAAGGTCGGAATGGCGTGCGGAGCAGACGAATGTTTGTGCTTGGTGCAAGCACCTAATCGTGAGCGTGCCTGATTACATTTCAGTTTTAGTCGTGTTACGGAGGGGCAGCACTGGGTGTACATGCGTACTCGGCGGTGAAAAGATCGGCAAACAAGACGCCGTCCTTGAACAAACGTTGACATTTTTACGGAGGCGCCAACCGAACTGATTAGTTCCGGAGCGATGTATAAAACCGAAACGCTGGTCGTGTGCGTCCGTAATCACGTGAAAACGTGACCTGGTGTGTGCACGCCCAGCATTTTCTTACTTTTGAACAATTCCACTTTTACACTTGGGTGGGGGGGGGGCGCCACCTGTGTTATCACGTGACTCGCTCAATCAAGTGAGCCGCGACCTGGGTTGCCAGCACGTAAGCCTGCGCCGTAAGGCCAGTCAGTGTTCATCGTTGCAAGGCCCTGCGGGCCACTGGCGGCGACCCCTGGGCGACCTTTAACGCGCGGCCCCTGTTGTGCGGCCCCCGACAACACACAACGTGTGAGAACAAACCCCCCTCGTCGTGCTGCTGCTGTCAATGTGTGGCTGCCCTCGTGCACTGATGATGTCTTATCGGCGAAAGTGGCCCGCCTCTGAAACGTATTGAAGAACACTGGCATGAGGCGAAGGTGGTGGCAACTTGAACCTCTAATGACCTCTTGTGAATTTTAAAATGACGCTGTCGAAAATAAATTGTATCGATTGCGGTAGGTCTACAGTGGGACCAAAAAACACTGGGTGGGTATTTCACGCCGAATGCAAGTCGTTCAAACTGGACAGCAGTGTATGTTTGATTTTATTTATATACACATTATCGTACGTGTGGCGTCTGTGTCTACGCGTCTGCCGCTAATCGTTCAACTCAAAACACCTGGGTCCTCTCCCGTGGACCACCTGCCAGTACCACCTGCCAGTGAGCCATCGACACTACACGTGACGGCCACGGAGTACACCTAGCCCGGCGCGAGCACCGCGGTGACGTCACGTACGTGTGTACGTTGAACTTCTTTCGCATCATACGTAGCCAAACCGTGCTAATCGGAGTTGAGATTAGCACGGGTGTCTACGAGTGTGCGCGCGCGCTTGCATCACGCGTGGGATGCGAAAGCTGACGAGCGCTCGCCCAGGCACGGTGGTGGTGGTGGTGGCGGCCTCTCGCTCCATCGCCGTGGTCTTCTCATCGCCGTTTGTCTCAGGAATGGACGTCGAACGCCCTGGTCGGCGCTGCCGCTGTTGCCATTCTTCGTGTTTTTGTTGTTGTTGGCCTTTTGAGCCCGGGGTGAAATTGAGCATTTTGTGCCATAAAGACGACACCGTACGTACGTGTGATTTAAAATGAACAATAATTGAGTGGGCAATTCTTGGGTGGAATGTTGACGATTGGTTTGCTGTTGGGGATATTTTCTGACGCTCTCCATGTGTATTTGTGATTTGAACGTGGGTTTTGTGGCTTCATGCTTTTACGTGGGGTGCCACCTTAGGAGTTTTTTTTCTAAAAGTCGCCTCGTTTAGTGAATGTGTCCCGTTAAAGTATTCCTGCTCATGTAATCGTAAAGCCTTTGTCAATCCACTGCTGGATGAACACCTCCCCCCCCCCATGCAGTGTCTTGTCACGGTGGTTGCTTGACCATACCTCTCCCCGCCGCTGGTCTGCGCGGGATGGTCGAGCGGCGAGCCACGTGCCGGTTTGGATATATCACATGCTGCTGAAGTTAGCCATGACTCGGAATCGAACTGTGACGGAACGTGAGAAGATGGAGCGTTCGGAGGGTCGTGTATTACAAACACATTGTGGTTCTTTCATCCTTGTGGGTGCCATGGTGGCGAGATCTTGGCTACCTCGCCTGGTACACAACAGGTCGTGGGTTCGATCCCGACCCCTGACGCCTGTATATTTGGAGTTTGCGTGTGTCTCCTCGTGATCGCGTGGATTTTTCTCCCGGGTCCTCCGGTTTTTCCCTCCACATTTAGAATCACGCGCTCAGAGTCTTTGGATGCTATACATTACCACGTGGTAAGCCACTTCGTTGAGCTATCATTTGTGGCCACAGTTCACTTCTGAAAAAGAGCTGTATAGCTCAGTGGGCCTTAGCTGGTAAGATTATATTTTTTTTAAAACAAGTTTGTGCTCTTTGGGAGCTGGCTTCTGCTGCTGCTCCGCTCTAGCGCGTGAACGCGTCGAGGTGCTAGTGTGCCCACGGCGCGCTAGTCGCATTGGCAAACTCCGTGACCCCGCGGGAGGGTGAAAGCTTTCGAAGCAAGCGAGGAGAGATGCTGCTTCCGCGTGAATGATGCAACCGCTCCCCCGCGTGCCGTTTCGTCTTTGGGACAAGGCAGCAATCACGCCCAGCCTCCATCGGTCTCTCCCCCCCCCCCCTTCGTTGCTGATGTTTAAGCACCGCTGCAGGTACTCATTTAAGGCTGAGTCGACCTCGAGGAGACCCCCCCCCCCCCAAACCGCTTGAAATACCACGGATGGTAGCACCAGCCGGGAATCCAACTCTTGTTACTAAGCGGGGTGGGGGTCGTAGTGGAATGCGCTAATCACTGCGCCACCGCTCTCCCCTGCACGAGAAGGGGGGGGGGGGTACATTATGGAACTTCTCGTCACACTGGCCGCATGGACCGGGGGGCGAGGGGGGT